CCCTTCTAGAAATAGAATCACCCTGCGTATAGCCACGCGATGGTATTGGTTTTAAGGGATTATGGCAGGATTACGCTAGATATAGCGCGCCAGTACATCCCGAGCCTGGTCGGTGATATAATTATAATAAGAGGATAAACCAAAGGATAATGGAAAAAGAGGAATAGGAAACCAAATGAGATGAGATAAAGACCAAATGAATCAGGATAGAAAGAGGAATGAAATAGACAGGAAATATGGAAAGGGAAAAATGGTGTAACGGGGTCGTGCTCTCACAAGGTGTGTCTCCTCAGTAGCCCAGCCTTCACGGAGGCCAGTGCGTCTCTGTCGGTAGTGGCGAAGACCAAGTCCTCTAAGTAGACAAGGATGCATAATGGATTTTGGCCTGAACAAACGAAGAGTGAAGGGTCTGCAGACGACGGTAAGAATTGTAGGTCAGCTAGCGTAGCACGAAGTGTATCGTGCCACTCTCGAGGAACCTGCTGCAGGCCGTAAACCGGGCGCCGTAGGAGCCACTGGGTCCCTAGGGTGAAGGTCCCGGTAAAGCCTGGCGGGCGACGGAGGTAGACCTGCTCGTGGAGACTGCCCTGAAGAAACGCTGTCGAAAAGTCAACAGAGTGCATCTTCTAGTTACGATGTGCTGCTACGTGTAGCAGCGCTCGAAGAGTGGTCATCTTCGGGGTCGGAGCAAAGGTCTGGAAAAACTCAACACCCTCGGGAAGATTGAAGCCTCTAGCAACGTAGCACGCCTTGAACACCGGCAGCTCTCGAGAGGGGCGCTTCACCTAGAAGAGCCACCGTCCATCGACTACGTTCACCCCAGGTGGCAGAATTGCATCAACGTACACTGGCAGAAAGCATAGGTAGGGAGCATCGGGTGTGGACAACACGGAGCCATGGGAGGAGGGCGTCAGGCATATGGAGGCCCATGGACCAGGGGGGGGGCGCAGTGAACCGCGTCAATTCGTTGACGACCACCAGAAAGTAGCGCTGCCCGCGGGGCCCCAGACGTCCATGTGCAGAGTCTGTAGGGGAGCAGTAGTGGGAGGAAACGAGGAGGAGTGAGAGGCGGCGCGCTGCCGGCCCTCGACGCAGGAGGTGCATGAGAGCGCGAGGGAGGCGGGGAGAGCGTGGAGCGACGTGGGGAGACCAATTACTGGACCGTGGGATGCCATGTGACGCAGACAGGGGAGAGTAGGGTGACCTAAGCAGTGGTGCCACATGAGTGCCGAGTGGGTGAGGGAGTGATAGGAGTAGGACGCAGCAACCTGGGTGGACGCAGGTACCTGGGACAGCTCTGTATGCAGTGTGAAGAGACTAGGCATAGGATTTCGGTCGAAGGTGGCCTGGTGGGCGCCCGTGGCGGCGTCCATACAAGGGGCAGATCTCTTGCGCCCAGGGAACATGGTGGTGACAGCGAGGTCCTGGATATGGCCGACACCAACCAGGTTCCTGGAAAACGTGGGAATATGTAAGCCGGTAAGGGAGCTAGACGTGACAGCCGGGCAAGGGAGAGCGGTGGTACTTCGAGCGATGACAACGGCAGGCGAGTCAGCTAGGGAGACCGGCACCAGTGCAGGGAGTCTCGGAAGAAGCAGTGAGACGCGCTGGGGTCCAGTGTGAAGTATAGGGCCAGTGTAGTAGGGGCAGGGGAGGGTCCTAGTCGACACGTAGCAGAGGCTCCTAGACTACACACAACAGTAGGACATAGGCCCCCAGGCCCCCAAGCCCCGATGCCCCCGAGCCTCCAGAGAAACCACGCGGGCCCTAGGGGAGCGCCCGCCCCAGAGCCCAACCTCCAAGGCCTCCTCTGTGCCCAACACCCCCAGGACCCCAGCGTGGCGGCTGTCGCTAGTGTTGCTTCTGTTGTTGCGGTTGCTGCTGCTGTGTCTGCTACTGCTGTGGATCGGGGCAGGCAACCCTGTGGGGTACCTCAATGGCATGGAGGTGGGTGACAAGCTCACCAGTACTGTAGTCCTCCAGGAGCTCGCAGTCCACGTGCTGACTCACCAGTTGTTGGCGGAGAGCGAGAAGCCAGAGAGCGAAGTCGACCTTCGGCGTCAGGCCGTGGGTCAAACTTCGACAAGGTCGGCATGCCGATAGGGGAGGCAGCAAGGAACTCCAGAAACGAGGAGGAGACGAGTGGGAGGCGCTAGGGGCTGCAAGAGCACGAACGGCGGTAGTGGCAGTGGCGGCTGTGGCCGTAGAGGCGGTCTGGCAGCCGACGGCTGGCTGCTGGCGGCTGGGAGCTGGTGGCCGGCAGTTGGCAGCTGGTTAGGTGCTAGGTGAGCGGCAGGCCGGCAGCAGCGACGGCTAGCGGCAGGCTGGCGGCAGTGGTAGCGAGCGGCCAGCGGAAGTCTGTTGGCAGAGGAGCGGCAGCGGGCAGCAGCATTAGGCGGCACGGAGGCGCACGCAGCCTGCAAGCGAGTGGCAGTGGGCTGCTGCAGCGGGTTGCAAGCGGCAGAGAGCAGCAGCGGGCGGCAAGTGGCAGCGAACAGTGGCTGGCGGCGAGGTTGCTGCTGGCTGGCGGCTGGCGAGCGGCGGCTAGTTGGCTGGCGGCTGGCTAGAGAAACAACCTACTGTCTAACTATGGCTAATGAGGTAAACTAGGGTGGGAGGGGAGTGGAGAGCACCTAGGGCAGAAGCGCGACAGCTAGCAGCGCCTAGCTCTATAGGGGGGGGGGGGGGGAGGACCGGGGAGGGGTTGTAAGGAATTTTATTCCTTACCGGGTTGTACTGCATCGCGTACACCTGAACTCCCGGAAGACCAGGCTCGGTCCGATTCCAACGCAACTCCGAGGCTGGCTCGTGCGTCGTGCCGCCTCTGGCCCTTTTGACCGCGCCTGTATCCAACCTATCCCTCCGGGGTCTTCGCTTAGCTAGGGCTCTCGCTATATCTTGCTAGGCTCTCGTCTTTGTACTCATCATTATTATTCCGCGCACTCTTAGTTATTATTCATAACAATAATCAATTAGTGATACGACGGCGCACTCTTCACCATACGATAAGGGTTAGTTCCCCCCTAATGTCAAGAAATATGACGAAGTACGGACGGTTTCGAGAGTTACACCTCATCAAATGTTTTGATCTACACCATAGATAGCTTTGGATAAAAAATGCTGACACTAGGGGGGAACGTTCCCTAAGACCTGTTTCCACCATCGCCCATTTTCGCCACATTACCGTGATCTGCCAAGAAATCTGCTGGATTTCCGAGCCTGTGACGTGTTTCCTTGCATTCGTGGACAAAGCCTCCAAAAAGATATCCACGTACGGCTAGGCAGGTGTTCTTCGCTGCCATGTCAGCCTCGACGAGTGCAGAAGGCGACACAACGAAGAATCCAAGAATTCTGGAATCAATTGCCGTCACACTTGCACTTTGACCTGCGGACCGACTAGCGATCCACCACTTGCTCAGGGCTGATTCCGCAGAGAGTGTTAGACCCGAGGGTTTAGCGGGAAGATCCGAGGCTGGAAAAAATTGCCTTGGGTCTCGCGAAAAACTAACGGCTCTGGCCAGTCAGCTGACAAACCGAACAACCAATAATTTCGCGCGAATGAACTTCCACCTATCAGCAACTCGCAATCCTCCTTTTGCGACTGCTCACGACTGTGCAGCCGCTGCATCGTCACGAATATAAATCCCGCAGTTAGGTTATGACAGCCCGCGGCTCCTTAAACCGCAGGTCTGCCTCGGGTCTGACACCCACTCCGGGATCCTCCCTTACAGCGCTGCATGCGGGCTGTCGATTGATTTGGGGCCCTTTTTGGGTGGCTGAGGTCCCCCGAAAACAGCCCTGATAATTCCGGAAAGCGACCGAACTGACCCCCGAATGCGTACGGACTAGGGTCCAAACCAGAACTTAGGGTGTGTCCCCCCCTAGTATCATTTTTGTAAAGAATGCTTCCGACAGTAAAGATGCTGACACGTCAGGAATATTGATGAGCTGTAACGCTTGAAACCGTCAGTGCTTTGGGTCAAAATTCTTGACCCTAGGGAAAAACTACCCTTAAAATCAGGCTGCGCCGTAGACTGTACTTTTTCCTGAGAGAATAACTTTGTAATCGTACAATCTATTGGCGACTTCACAAAAAACATATGGTGGGGAGGGGGGAGGGGGGAGTGGGGGTGTGGGCGAGGGGGATGTTGGAGTATTGTCTCAGGCTGTGGGGGACTTGTCGAATTATCTAAGGGTGCGAGGGGTGCGGGAGGAATGTCTGGGGGGGTGTGAGGGACTTCACCGATTTTTCTATCTTCGAGTGGGGTGCGGGAAGAATGTCTCTGGTTTGGAGGGCTTAGCCGAAATTTCTTAGCGAGGGGAATTCACTTTGGGCGCGAGGGGTGTGGTAGGAATGTCTCTGAGTTGGGGAACTTGGACAAATTTTATGAGTTCGGGTGGGATGTGTGGGGAATGTCTTTGGTTTGGGGGACTTAGCCGAGGGTCTGCCTAGTGTCAGGGTAATGTCAGGCTTAGTTACGTATAATCAGGAAAATGTCTCAACTCCGCCCTAAACGAGTCTGGGAAATGGCCGGATAATCACGGGATAGTCCCAAACATAGCTCTTAAAAGTCGTACCCCGACGGGAATCTTACCCGGAATGTTCAGGTAATTAAGGGCATTTATTCTTGAATCGACAGGCCTGCTCTAGACGTGTCACGTTGCCTGCAACCATTTACACCTTCAGCTTAGTACTCAGCACTCACTCTGGGGAGGGAACTCGCTTGAAATGAGCCCTCGAGACCCAATTTTGAGGATTTCGTGTTCACTCCACGATGCCTCGGATCTCGCGGAGTGTCAGTAGCATTCCGCGAATCACGCGAACCGTTGGTTCACCACTGTCACTCGAGAGCACCCTACAGACGTTACAACTCACTGGGGAGTTCGGTTCCGCTATTAACCCTACCCAACCGAAATGAGTTATATATGGATCGCTCTTAAACCCAGCCCGACTTCCAACACGACACAAAAGTTCGCTGAGCAGCCAAGTCACACCCAATCTTGCATTCGCTGGCTTGGCAAGAAATGGCCGCACACTCGTGCCTGATAGAAAAAAGGACTTCCACATTTCGGGTCGGAGTTCTTTGACAACAAGATTTGAGGAAGGAGAACGAGCAATCTGAGGCGAGTTTATGCATCAACCTTGCCGCCAAATCCGTTATTTCCGCGGACAAACATACAAGTATCCAAGCCTACACGCTGACTATTTCATTCTAGGAGAGCCATGGCGGACGGCAAGTTCTTCGCGTACGCGTGCATGGGTCCGAAGCAGAAGTTTGAGCCCTTCCACTACGAGCCCGACCCGCTGGGACCCAACGACGTGCAAATCAAAGTCACTCACAACGGCCTGTGAGTCGCTCGTTACTGCCAGGAATGCGTGTGAAAAGAGGTGACTTTCGAGGCGCTTTTAATCACCGCGACCTCGAATCATCCCACAAGGACCCAACGACGTGCAGACCCACCTAAAGTCACGCATGGCGGAATGGAGTCGCCTGCTATTGGGCGTCCGTGGCGCTTTTGGCATCTCAAACTCGTACATGGATTCCGACGTTCTGACTTTGAATTTTGACTTTCGGAATCGCTAAGCAAAATCGCACCATTCGCTAATCATGGTGCGATTTTGCTAATCATGGTGCGATTTCGCTAATCATGGTGCGATTTCGCTAATCATGGTGCGATTTTGCTTAGCGAATGATGACGAGCCACCATTGACAGCGCTTTTTACGGTATTCCTTGTACACGTTACAAGCTTTTCCTTTTTATTTATCCTGTTCATTGGCAAGTGCCACACGAATTCGCGCTTGGAACAACGCGATAGATCCGTTAGGTGCCACTCCGCCCAACGTTACTATATCGGATTTCTCTACATCTCTTGGCAGGTGCCACACGGACTTGCACTTGCGCGACAACGACTGGAACAACGGGACGTACCCGTTTGTAGCAGGCCACGAGGTGGTGGGAATCGTGGAGCAGGTCGGCGCCAACGTGACCACGCACAAAGTGGTACGTCTAGCAAAAGAAACGCGTTAGAAGGAAACATGCGTCCCACTATTGGTGGTTGCTATCAACACCTTTCAAAACCTCTCAACACCTTCCTGCCTCTCCTGCCTCCGCGGCGAGGAGAACCTGCGCGCGGAAAGGCACACGACACGGGGCTCATCCTTCCTCTCTTTTCCCCGGCCCACCCTTTCACCACAGGGCGACAGAGTCGCATATGGCTGGCTCCGGAATTCCCGCCGCTCCTGCCTCTCCTGTGTGTGCGACGAGGAGGGAGCACCATTTCGGCGCGATGACTTTTGAGTCGACTCAAAAGTCATCTCGCTCCTGTCTCTCCTGTGTGTGAGATGAGGAGAACCGGTGCGCGGAGAGGTACTCGGGGCTCATCCTTCCTCTCTTTTCCCCGGCCCACCCTTCCACCACACGGCATCAGAGTCACGTATGGCTTCCTCAGGGACTCCTGCCGCTCCTGCCACTCCTGCCGCTCCTGCCGCTCCGGCCGCTCCGGCCGCTCCTGCCGCTCCTGCCGCTCCTGCCGCTCCTGCCGCTCCTGCCGCTCCTGCCGCTCCTGCCGCTCCTGCCGCTCCTGCATCCGCGGGGAGGAGTGCACGGGGCTCATCCATCCTCTCGTACCTGGTACCTTCCCCTCAGTGCATCATCTCAGTGCATCATCACGGGGCGACCGCGAAGGGAGGGAGAACCTGCGAGGGGAGGAGTACACGGGGCTCATCTTCCCCTTGCCGCCACTTGCACTTACCCTCAATGCCCCTTCCATCACAGGGCGACTTTTGAGTCGACTCAAGAGTCCGCTGGGGAGGTATACACGGGGCTCGTCCTCTCCTTGCCGCCACTCGCACTTTCCCTCGATGCCCCTTCCATCACAGGGCGACCGTGTGGCGTACGGCTGGCTCGGGAAATCGTGCCCCTCCTGCCTGTCCTGCATACGCGGGGAGGGGAGACCCTGTGCGCGGAGGGGTGCACGGGGCTCATTCTAAACGGCAGCAAGGGGAGAGTACAGCACGGGGCAGCAAGGGGCATATCGTCCATCCTACCCCCTTCCCACTCCCACCACAGGGCGACTGCGTGGGATACGGATGGATGCGTGACTCGTGCCACTCCTGCCTCTCCTGCATCCGCGGGGAGGAGAACCTGTGCGCGGAGGGGAGGGGTGCACGGGGCTCATTCTAAACAGCAGCAAGGGGAGAGCACAGCACGGGGCAGCAAGGGGAGAGCACAGCAGGCAACAGAGCCTCCCCTTCCATCCCCTTTCTACCTTCGCTTCTGTGGCAGGGAGACCGCGTGGCATATGGATGGATGCGCGACTCCTGCCGCTCCTGCCTCTCCTGCATCCGCGGGGAGGAGAACCTGTGTGCGGAGGGGTACACGGGGCTCATTCTAAACGGCAACAAGGGCGGCTTCCAGCCGCGCCTGCGCGCCCCTGCTGACTTTGCCATCAAGCTGCCCGAGGGGCTCGACTCGGTTGCTGCGGCGCCCCTCATGTGCGCTGGTGAGTGCCTTTGCTCTGAGCGGTACTCCCCCCCCCCCGCTTGAAGCCTGCGCGCCCCTGCTGACTTCGCGTTCAGGCTACCGGACGGGCTCGATTCCCTTGCGTTGCTGCCAGGCGGGCTTGACTCGCTTGCCGCCGCGCCCCTCAGGGGCTCTGGTGAGTGTGCTTATGCTACTTGCGTTGTTACCCTGCTTTTTCCCGCCCTCCCCCCCCCCCCCCCCCCCTTTCCCCACCACCCTTGTACAGGCATCACAGTATACAGCCCCTGCGCACGCACGTCACCAGCCCAGGCATGAAGGTGTGCATAGGGTATGGCGCACTCACCCCTGCATACTCCCCCCCCTCTCCCCTCCCCTCTCCCCTCTCCCCTCTCCCCTCTCCCATCTCCCCTCTCCCCTCTCCCATCTCCCCTCTCCCCTCTCCCCTCTCCCCTCTCCCATCTCCCCTCTCCCCTCTCCCCTCTCCCCTCCGTCCCCTCTCCCCCCCCCTCTCCCAGGCATCACAGTCCACAGCCCCCTGCGCACGCAAGTCACCCGTCCAGGAATGAAAGTTGGAGTGGTTGGGATCGGTGGCTTGGGTCACCTTGGCGCTGCAGATCGCCCGGGCCATGGGGGCGCACGTGACTGGATTCCCTACCTCTCCCACCATGGAGGAGCACTCCAGGAGGGCAGCAGTTTGTGGAGGACTCCAGGAGCATGGGCCTTCGGTGGTGGGCGCGCAGCAGTTTTTTATGTATGACTCTCACTCCGTCCGTTCCTTCCCCCCCTCCTTCCCCCCCTCTCCTGCCCTCTACTGCCCTCTCCTGCCCTCTCCCTTCTCCCCTTATCCCCAGGCATCACGGTCTACAGCCCCCTGCGCACGCACATCACCCGCCCGGGCATGAAGGTCGGGGTCGTGGGCATTGGGGGTCTCGGCCACCTGGCTCTGCAGATCGCCCGGGCGATGGGGGCGCACGTGACCGCATTCTCCACGTCTCCCACCAAGGAGGAGGAGGCCAGGAGCATGGGCGCACAGCAGTTTGTGGTGTACGACGCGCAGGCGGCACCTGGGGGAGGCCACCCCGAGGTGCCCAAGAGTGCTCACGTGGACGTGCTGGTGAACTGTGCTCCCGTCTTGCCGCCCAACGGAGACTACCGCAACTTCATGAGCCTCTTGAACCCTGATGGCACGTGAGTACCCCTTTGAGTCCCTTGAATGGGTTGAGTGCGTCATCCCTGCGTGGTATCCCCTGGCTCGTGATCTGGGCACCTGTTCTGCACTCCCCAACCCCCCCCTCCTCTCACCCCCAGACTGGTGCTGGCTGGAATTCCGCCTCACGCCATCGGTCTCGTGGGCCTTCTGGATCACCTCCAATCCCAATGCACCCCTTCTCCCTCCCCCCTCGATCCCCTCTCCATCCTCCCTCCCCACCCCCCCCAACCCCCAGACTCGTGCTGACTGGGATTCCGCCTGACGCGGTCGGGCAGGTGGGCCTTCTGGATCTGATCTTCGGGCAGAAGAAACTTGCGGGATCGGTGGTGGGCGGGCGGATGATGCTGAAAGAAATGTTTGATTTCTGCGCCGCCAACAACATCAAGCCAGTGACAGTGGTGAGTGTGAGGGTGAGGGTGAGGGTGAGGGTGAGGGTGAGGGTGAGGGTGAGGGTGAGGGTGAGGGTGAGGGTGAGGGTGAGGGTGAGGGTGAGGGTGAGGCAGACCCGTCCCTTTTTTATGCGCCTCAGAAATAGACTCCCTCATCGCATCTGAACGATTGTGTGGATGAAGTACAAACCACCCTGTCATCCCTGTTACCACCTGGTTACCATCTGGTAACCACCCATGTGTTAACAGACCCGTCCTGTGTCGCAGCTGAACAAGGCCATGGGCGAATTGGAGGCCATCAAGGTTCATTACAAACCAAATTTCGTATTTTCTTTTCCCCTTTCTGCCCTGTTACCCCCGTGTTACCCCCGTGTTGCCCCTGTGTTACCCCCATGTTGCCCCCGTGTTACAGACGAGTCCTCTGTCGCAGCTGAATGAGGCAATAGACGAAGTGGAGGCCAACAAAGCCAACAAGGTTCACCACAAATCAACTTTCCCTCTCTCATTTCTCCTTTCTGCCCTTACCCCCCTGTTACCCCCCTGTTACCCCCCTGTTACCCCCCTGTTACCCCCCTGTTTCCCGCCCTTCAACCCTGTGTTACAGACCCGTCCTCTGTCGCAGCTGAATGAGGCTATGGACGAAGTGGAGGCGAACAAGGTCCGTTACCGCATCGTGCTGCTCACCGATGTTTAGATAGGGATGGATGGGTGGGTGGATAGATGGATGGCTTGAGAGTGCAGCTGCTTGTTGATAATGGATGTACGGGTGGGTGAATGGGTTGTGTGGACAGCATTAGGGCATGTGGATAGTGGATGTTCGGGTAGTGTGAATGGATATCTGCTTGCTGTTGAGTCCTCAAGAGCCACATAACGTGATACAAAATGGTGGCTGTCAATCAAGGTTCGTTTCGTTACTGCGTGGTGCTGCCCACTCAGGGCGAGCAGACATGGATCATGGATGAATGGATACTGTAGATGGATGGATAGCTGCTTGCTATTGAGGCCTCAAGAGTCACATGGCATGAAAAGCACCTACGCATGCGTTTCAGGAAAGCTCAGTAAGAAAGAATGGAAAGGAAAATGTACCAAAAAAAAAAAGCTGCCACGTACAGAACAATATTTATAAACGCTCTTCATGACATGTTACGTCTTATATATTTCTTCCATTTATGGACCCACATAAATACACCTGACCAAATACATTGTACTGATGTACGAGGCTGCCAATAGAGACACCCATGGGAAACTTGCGTGGGTGTGCAGTGCGGCACACCCATTGAATGGGAGAGGGACGTAGGGGAGGGGAATGCGCAGCGAGGCGACACGACACCTGGCAACAAGGTCACGCGCGCGCGCCGTATAGTGCGGAGGGGGAGATCGAGTCTGGGGAGACTTACTGCCGTGGACTATCTACGAAAACTTCAATACTTTCATGGAGAGCACGTCGAACTTTTCCTTCTCCCATGGACACCTTCCATACTTTCGTGGACTCCGGGCATACTTCCATGGACACACGCTCATTTGCAAAGAAAATGCGTAAAAAGAACCGTACAAGTGATGACGGGCAGTGAGAAACACAAACCAGACACTGCATGCGTCGCAAAGCGTCGTGAGCTACAGCTGTCGCATACCGAATCCGAAACAAGAATCCCGCAACCTCGGAAATGATTTGTTACGATGTCCCTGAAACACGCAGGAAAGCTGCGCTTCAAATCGAACAGCAAGTGCTCCAACACTAATTCGATATAAAAGAGCTAGCGTTGTATGCACACTCACGTTTTCCTTTTGTAGTACCTTTCTCCTTTGGTTTGTGAAATTCATGAAAATATATTTACTTCAAGCTAAGGACAACACGCACATTTATAATCATATTATTTGAAAATAATCAATGTTAATTTTCTTTTCATTGCTGCAAATATTAATATTTTAGTAGGCAGAACTATATGCGTGAGAAAAAAATCATTTTCGTGAGCATTGGTTATGACTACTGCAAAGGTTAAAAGGTTTTTTTTTTGTTAGATGTATGGCGTTGTTATCTGGTCTTATGACAGAGCGTGCTGGGCCTGCTATACCGTAGTACGGATTGTAGCTGGAACGTTACAGTCTATAGAAATGATTCTGAGCATCACTGCAGGATTGCTTAAAATAACGCGGAGCAGCTAGCTGATTTGGTTGTTGTGGGTACTGTAGCTTACGACTTCTTGCGACATGCCCCGGATTCGGCATTTTTCTGTTTTTCCGCCCGTCATCATTTGTACAGTCAATTTACGTTTTTTACTGCAATTTCGCGTGTGTCCATGGAAGTATGCATTGAGTCCACAAAAGTATGGAAGGTGTCCATGGGAGAAGGAAAAGCTCGACGTGCTGTTCATGAAAGTATGGCCTGTCCACGAAATTATGAAAAGTTTTCGTGGACAGTCCGCGGCAGTAAGTTTCCCTCGAGTCTGTTCGTGTGCGGAGTTCCATTCGATACATGCTCTTACAAAGCGGTTGAAATACAGGTACAGTCTTTTACCGTGTGGAATCGTCCAGGACCACTGCAAATGAAATGAGGCACCTGGGGAAGGCACAAGGGCTCATTCCAAACCAGCTCTGCCTCCACCCAGCCAGATTTGTCCACCTGGCGGACAAATCACCCGAGCTGGCACCAATGAGCTGATCAGGGGAAAAGTAAATGTGGTTCGGTGGAGGCGTGAGGGAGCTTGTGGGCGCTTCGCGAGTGGCGGGCGAGCTGGACGAATCACCCCAACCTCACCCTATGCGCGATTCGAAGCAACACATGGAAACGTTTCTTGCGCTTTCGATACGGTGGCGCGCGTTTTCGCAGTCTCTAGATCGGTATATTGCGTTACAGTGGTAAATGTCCGAGACACGCAACCCATGTGCACGCGACTCGCTTGTGGCCTCAATTGGGTTTCCGCAATCTGGACAAGGGAGTCAGTCGGTTTTCACTAGCAGTGGCGCATCACGTCATATTCAGCCTCCCAAGTCCAATTTTTAGTATAACACACCTATCTCGCACATTGTCCAGCCATCAAGCCACTGCCAAAATCTGGATAGTTTCAGCTGTTCACAGATTCAGGCCCTATCGACTGACGTCGCTCCAAGGAATCCCTTTGGAGCCAGTATCTTGAGCGCAAGTATGGCATTTCTTAGCAGCCTCTTCTTAGTCCTCGCGCTCCTTGTCGCACTGCCCGCCGCGATAGTAGCAACTAACATGCCCGCGGGCGGATGCCACACCCGCTACGTTTGCCCCTACATAGACAACCTCGCTACCGCGACCATCTCGCAGTCCACGTACACGAGTTACAAGTACATCGGAAACTACCAAGGGCTCTTCAACAACCAGGGTGGGCAATACGTTGAGCACCAGCGCGGCTCGGGTCCCGTGAATTTCGAGCGGTACACGGAGGTTGGGACCATATTCGACGTGGTGAAGGGCGTCTACGGAGACACGCTGCAGGAGTGCTGCCGCGCCTGCGCCCGCTCCACCTACTGCTACCAGTGGCACTGGTTCAAAAAGTAAGCGCCGCGTTTTGAAATCAAATCACTCAGGATCCGTTTCTTCCGCGCATAGTCATGCCAATTTCCGCATAGTCCGTTTCTTCCGCGTTTCAAACGTAAGGCTTGCGCTGTGAATGCTTCTTGACTGACTGAAACTCAATTCCGTTTCTTCTTTGATCCTTTCCGCTCTTCTTCCTCTCTCCAGCTCGCGTCTCGCCGGCGAGAACGCCAAGGTGACGGGCTTCATCGACCGCATCCAATGCTACCTTCTAGAGAAGGTCGGTGGCACGGGCACGTCAGGCCCCTTTAAGACCCCCAATGCGGGCGACGCGGCGACGCAGACGGCGAACGCGGTTAACTACCCGCTCAGCTTTGTCGGCGGGCTTTGCAACGGCACCGCGCTCGTCGAAAACGACCCGCATCTGACCGGCGCGCACGGCACCCACTACGACTTCACCGGGCGCCTCGACCGGTCTTTTTGCCTCTTCTCCGACCGTCGGTTCCACGTGAATATGCATCTGAGCGGCTACCAGGGAGCCCCGCCCGCTCTTCCCGCGTCGGCGACATCATCGAACAAGGAAACGAGCACGGAGCTTCACACGTGGATTAAGGAGGTCGGCGTGGTGTGGATGACTCCCGACGGCGCGAACCACACGCTGCGCATGGTGGCGCGCAAGGGCAAGCAGCAGGAGCGCGGGGATAACGGCTTCCTCTCGCTGCTCGAGATCGACGGCAAGACGGCGAGCCCGCCGAGCGTCGGCGAATCGATGGCGACGGAAAGCGGGCTGGTGGTTACCAAAGTCGCGGAGGAGAAAGAGGGACCGTTCGATGTGGATCAGTTTCAGGTGCGCGTGGTGGGGCTGGGGGAACTCGACGTGCGCGTGCGCGTGGCGCACCCGCTGCTGCAGACCCCCTCGGAGGCGGAGACCCACTTCAACGTCGAACTTTCCGACGTGAAGATGACGTCAGCCGTGCACGGCGTGCTCGGGCAAACGTTTAGGAACTCGCCGGAGCAGCTGCAGCGCGCGATTAAGTACTCGCACTTAGCGGCGCTGCTGCGGCACCCCGTGGACGTGGATAAGGCGGAAGGGAAGGGGTTTCTGGACGGGGAAGTGGAGGACTACATCTCCTCGTCGATCGTCGCGCCGGACTGCAAATACGCCAGCTACGGCTCTGCCTAAGAGAGGATTCTAATTACCAAGTCGCACCTTACAAGTCTTAGATTCGTCGTGGATCGTGACTCGTGATTCGTCAAGGAATCTTGACTCTGCTTTAGTCTGTCCATGCACCCAACCAATGGCCGCTTTTAAGGCAAATAAGAGGCTGGGACTCCTGTTTTGCATAAAATTATGTACTCTTATTGATTCATTAATTGTGATTTCAAACAAACTCGAGCAATGTGACCGATTTATTTATGAAACCATGCAAAAATCAAGAAAAACATGCCTACAGTACCGATTACACATGTCTAAATGCAGCAAATGCCAAACATCGACACCAACCAGCCTCTTGTTCTCCATTCGCAACTTTGAGATACAGTATCCTCAATCTCGTAGTATCTCGCAATTCATGCAATTCATGCAATTCACGCAATTCATGCAAGTCCCAGTTTCTCCGTTTCCTCGGTGCCCTGACTCTCCCTACCTGTGCCCACAACATCCGTCTCTTGACTCGATAACTCCGCTGTAGCTTCCTCAACCGCAATCCTATCCAACTGTGCACCGACCTCCTCCTCTTGCCCTCCTTCCTCGTGCTTTTCTCCTGCTACAGCAGCTTCTGCGATAATGTCCCCTCCCGCAGTGTCAATAGGACTGCAGCTGTCAACCTGGACCTCTCTTTCCTCTACAGCAGCTTCTGCTACAATATCTCTTGTTACGGCATCCCCTGCTACAGTATCCCTTGTTACAGCATCCCCTGCTGCAGCAGCTTCTGCGAAAATGTCCCCTTCCACAGTGTCAATGGGACTGCAGCTGTCAGCCTGGACCTCTCTTTCCTCTACAGCAGCTTCTGCTACAGCACCCCCTGCCACAGCAGCTTCTGCTACAGCATCCCCTGCTACAGTATCCCTTGTAACGGCATCCCCTGCTACAGCAGCTTCTGCTATAATGTCCCCTTCCATAGTGTCAATGGGACTGCAGCTGTCAACCTGGACCTCTCCTTCCTCTATCTCTTCTGCATCATCCTCTTTATAAGCATCTTCGATAGCATTAGCACCAGTGCCAGTATAAGCACCGTCAGCAGAATTGGCATCAGTAGTATCAGCAGCAGGAGCAGCAGCGTTACCAGCAGTGGCAGCAGCAGCAGCTTCAGACACAGCAGCAATAGCATCATCGGCAGCAGCAGCATCCAAAGCAGCAGTAATAGCATCATCGGCAGCAGCAGCATCCGAAGCAGCAGTAATAGCATCACTGTCAGCAGCACTGACATGAGTCTCTTTCTCTCCCTCTATCCCAGTATCTCTACCAATACCACCATCCTGCGTGTTACACTCCCTGCTTCCCTCCGTGCCTCCTCCCACCACCTCCCCTTCTTCAAGAGATGCACTCCCATGCTTGATATCATCATTCACTTCCTTCTCACTCCCATTCCTTATTATCTCTTCTCCCTCCTCTCTCCATCCTCTCTTCGCAAGCCCCTTCCCTTCCTCCACCAAAGCATTCCCATTCGTAATCCACCTTGTCGCATCCCCTTCGGTCCTCCCATGCATGGCGCTCTGCTCTTCCTCCGCCTCATACGATGGGCTCCCATGCATGGCGCTCTGCTCTTCCTCCGCCTCATACGATGGGCTCCCATGCATGGCGCTCTGCTCTTCCTCCGCCTCATACGATGGGCTCCCATGCATGGCGCTCTGCTCTTCCTCCTCCTCATTCGATGGGCTCCCAAGCTCAGCGATTTTCTCTTGAGGGGGTGGTAGGCATTGTTGCCTTGCTGCCACAGTTCCTGCCGCTGCTATCTCACCTATAACTGCTGCCGCTCCACCTGCCGCTGCTGCTGCTGCTTCTGCTCCTGCTTCCGTGTCTGATTGCACAGTCAAATATTGTTGCCTTGCTTCTATAGCTGCTGCTGCTATCGCACCTGAAACTGCTGCTCCTCCTTCCTTTCCTGTAGATTCTGTGACTCCTGCTGCTGCTGCATCTTCTTCTGCTGCTCCTGCTTCTGCGACTCCTAGTGCTCCTGCTTTGGCTTCTGCTCCTCCTGCTTCTGCTGCTGCTGCTTCTGCTCCTGCCGCTTCTGCGTCTGCTGCTTCATCTGCTCCTGCAGCTTCTGCTTCAACTTCTTCTGCTCCTGATTCTACAAATGCTCTTATGCCGTCAGCTGTTGTTTCTGCTCCTGCTGCTCCTCCCACCTCTACTCCGGCTGCTGCTCCTCCTCCAGCGCTGGCTTGTTTGGCGACTGGTGTGGGCTGCGGAACAAGTAGGCGTGTCGACTGTTCTGCTGCAGCAGATGGCTGGGATGGGACTGGTAGGTGAGCTGGCGGCTGTGTTTGCAGGGGAACGGTTGCTGCTCCTCCTTCTCCACCGCCGGCTTGTTTGGCCACTGATGTGGGCTGCGGAACAGGTAGATGTGGCGACTGTTCCGCAGCAGACGGCTGCGAGGGGACTGGTAGGTGTGCTGGCGGCTGCGATTGCAGGGGAACGGACGGCTGGGATTGGTCGGGTGGGTGTGGCGACGGCTGAGATTGTAGAGGAACGTATGGCTGGGATTGGACGGGTGGGTGTGGCGATGGCTGTGTTTCCAGGGGAGCTGACGGCTGGGCGATTCCAAAACACGGCTGGGAAATCTCGAAGCGATGCTGTGACAGTGGATTTAGGGTAGCAGGATGGAGTTGAGAGGAAGGTGGTATCTGGGAGGGAGGCGATATCTGAGAAGGCAGTGGCATCTGGAAGGGAGGTGGTATTTGGGAAGGAGGTTGCGTTTGGAAGGTAGGTAGTATCTGGGAGGGAGGTGGTTTCTCGGAGGGAGGTGGGATCTGGGAGGGGCGTGGCATTTGAGAGAGAGGTGGCTTTTGAGAGGGAGGCAGTATCTGAGATGGAGGTGGTATCTGGGAGGGTGTTGGCATTTGTGAAGGAGGTATTATCTGAGAGGGAGGTGGCATTTGGGAGGGAGGTGGTATCTGAGAGGAAGGTGGTATCCTGGAGGTAGGTGGTATCTCGGAGGGAGGTGGCATTTGGGAGGGAGGTAGTATCTGGGAGAAGAAGTGAGGAGATGGGCGGCAGTGTGTGGGAGGGGAACTGTAGGGGAAAGGATGGTTGAGGGATGGGGAGAATGGGGGTGGGGACGATGGGAGGGGTTGAGGGTATGCGGGGGAAGGAGGGGTTGGGAGCGGTTGGGAGGGAAGGTGCTCTTCTGATGCTGACGTGGAGTCTTTAAAGACACCTGGCGACTGGGAGGAGTTTTTAGGAGGAGACTGGGACGAGTTATTAAGAGGAGACTGCGACTTTTTAAGAGGCGACTGCGAGTTTTTAAGAGGCGACTGCGAGCTTTTAAGAGGGGACTGCGAGTTTTTAAGAGGCGACTCCGAGCTTTTAAGAGGAGACTGCGAGTTTTTAAGAGGCGACTGCGAGTTTTTAAGAGGCGACTGCGAGTTTAAGAGGAGGCAATGGGAGACCTTAACTGGCGACTGCGAGTTCACGAGAACGCATTTAGAAGCCTTGACTGGCGACTGCGAGTTTTTAAGAGGTGACTGGGATAGCTCGGTAGGGGTTTCTTCAGAGGAGCTTATAACAATGGGGAATGATGAAGAGGCTCCTTGGGACTCCCTTGGGGAAGCGACAGCTATGGGAGGCATGGGAGGCGGAAGAGAGGAGGGAGAAGGGGTGAGAGCAGGAGGAGAGGGGGCAGGTGGTATGGGGGGAGGAAGAGAGGAGGGAGGAGGTATGAGAGAAGGAAGAGATGAGGGAGGAGGAATGGGAGGAGGAAGAGAGGAGGAAGGAGGTATGGGAGGAGGAAGAGAGGTGGAAGGAGGTATGGGAGGAGGAACGGAGGAGGTGACCGGCACAGCAGGTACCACAGGAGCAAGAGAGGAGGGAGGAGGTACGGGAGGAGGGCGAGAGGAGGGAGGAGGTCTGGCAGAAGAAAGGGAGGCATATGGAGGTGTGGGAGGAGAGAGAGAGGGATGTAGAGGTGTGGGAGGAGAGAGAGAGGTAGCAGCAACTTCAGCAGACTTAGCTACAGCAGCGACCGCCACAGAAGAACCAATTACAGCAGTGTCAGCATTAGCAGCAGCAGTGTCAGCATTAGCAGCAGCAGCGTCAGCACCAGCAGCAGCAGTGTCAGCACCAGCTGCAGCAGTGGCAGCACCAGGTGCAGCAGTGTCAGCACCAGCTGCAGCAGTGTCAGCACCAGTTGCAGCAGTGGCAGCACCAGTTGCAGCAGTGGCAGCACCAGTTGCAGCCGTGGCAGCACCAGTTGCACCAGTTGCACCAGTTGCAGCAGTGGCAGCACCAGCTGCAGCCCCTGAAGCCTCATTGCCATCATACCTCCCCTCAAGCTGTAGTTGCTTTGCAGCCGTCCCATGCCCACCACCTCCCTCCACGTCTGCAGCAGCAGCAGCAGCAGTGTCAGCAGCAGCAGCAGCAGTGTCAGCTGCAGCATCAATCCCTGCCACATTACCCTCGACACTCTCGCCAAGCCTTAGCTGCTTTGCTGGCGTCCCATGCCCACCACCATCACCCTCCCCATCTCCACCGGACCCAAAAACCTCCACACGTCTCCTCTTCCTCTCCTCTGGCTCTCGCTTCTCCCCTCCGTGCTCTCTATCCATGTCGCTCTCCCCTCTCGTTTCCTTATCCACACAGCTTCCAGTTTCCTCCAGCTGCTGCCGTCCCTCTTCCTCCTCTTCCTTCTCCTCCTGTGGCCGCTGCTCTTGTCTCTCGGCCACCTCCCCCTCCTGCTGCTGCTGCCGCTCTTGAAGCTCCTGCTGCCTCTGCATCTCCACCTGCTGCTGCATCTGCTGTTGCTGCTCCTCCTCCTGCTGCTTCGGCTGCTCCTCCTCCTCCTGCTCCTCCTGCTGCTGCATCTTCTCCTGCTGCCGCTCCTCCTCCTCCTGCTCCTCCTCCTGCTGCTGCTGCTCCTGTTGGTGCTCTTCCTGCTGTTGCTCCTCTTGTTCCTGCTCCTCCTGCTGCTCCTCCTGCTGCTCCTCCTGCTGCTCCTCCAGCTGCTCCTCCTGCTGCTCCTCCTGCTGCTCCTCCTGCTGCTCCTCCTGCTGCTCCTCCTGCTGCTCCTCCTGCTGCTCCTCCTCCTGCTGCTCCTGCTGCTCCTGCTGCTCCTGCTGCTCCTGCTGCTCCTGTCGCTTTTTCTGTTGCTGCTGCTCCTCCTGCTGTTGCTCCTCTTGCTGCTGCTCCTCCTGCTGCTCCCAACCCTGCCTTGCCTCAGCCACCCTCCCATCAGGTGTAACACGATTAGGCGTAACACGGTTAGGTGTAACACAATTAGGCGTAACACGGTTAGGTGTAACACGGTCAGGCATAACTCGATCGGGTGTAACACGGTCAGGCATAACTCGATCGGGTGTAACACGGTCAGGCATAACTCGATCGGGTGTAACACGGTCAGGTGTAACTTGATCCGGCATAGCATGATAAGGTGTAGCACGGTCAGGAAAAAACTGATTAGACGAAGTAAGATCGGAAGCCAGGACAGGGACAGAGAGCAGAGACAGGCGCACACCAAGAGAAGCAGTCCCATGGGGGAGAGACAGGCCAAGCCTCTGACGAGGAGGAAACTGCAAGCCCCTCGCCTCTCGCCCCTCTCCCCTATCCTCCACTCCCTCGCTCTCCTCTGCCCCATCCTGTAAGCCCCTCTCTTGTCGCCGGTCCCTATCCTTCACTCCACTTTCCCCCCTCCCTGGCAACTCATTCGGCCTTAGAAAGCCTCTTACTGCCAACCCTCTCCACTCCTCTAGAATATTCTCCCCTGAGCCCAGATGTTCCACCGAAACGCTCTGATTCAAAGAGCCTCTCCTCGGGGCGTCTCCTCTGTCCAAGCGATCACCTGGCTGCCTCTTTCGCTTCCTACCTGCAAGCTCTGCTGCGGCTGCTTCTTCGGTTGCTGCTGCGGTTGCTGCTGCAGTGTTTGCTGCACCTGCTGCTGCAGTTTTTGCTGCAATCTCTGTTGCACTCTGATCAACGCCAGCCAGGTGGAATGGTGCTAAGCGATCCGAATACAGTGGAGCTCCTACGGGGGGTGCCTGTAGTGGCGGTGCTGCAAAGTTTGCTCCAGTTGCAGCTGTACAAAGTGCTCCACTCTCTGTTGCACGTTGATCAACGCCAGCCAGGTGGAATGCTGTTGCCGCACCCCCATCCCTCACCACAGCAGCAGTTACTGTGGCTACCCTTTCAAACCCAGCAGCAGGAGCAGCAGGAGCAGCAGGAGCAGCAGCAGCAGCAGCAGTCGCCGCAGCAGGCTCTACGGGTCTTGCTTCAGCTTGTCTTACTTCCGATGGGCCACTTCCGTTAGGTTCTGCCTCAGCAGGTCTTGACTCAGTAGGCCCAAGAGGTCTTGCTTCAGGAGGATCTATCTCTGCAGGCTCGAAGGATCTTGCTTCAGCTTGTCTTACTTCAGAGTGCCCCCTTCTGTTGGTTTCTGCCTCAGCAGGTCTCGATTCGGTAGGCCGGGGGTTACTGGGCCTCACTACGAGATCATCGATAAACTCTGATAAAGGCCTGGAAGGAAGGGAGGGAGCGGGGGAGAGGCACACACACAGAGAGCACTGCTGTGGTAGGCTCTGCCTCAGCAGGTGTTGAATCAGTAGGCCGGGGGTTACTACTGGGCCTTACGAGATCATCGATAAACTCTGATAAAGGCCTGGAAGGAAGGGAGGGAGTGGGGGAGAGGCACACAGATAGTGGTGTGAGTCTGAGAGAGAGTTGGCCCTGTTTCCACATAATTTGCGTCTGAGAGCGTTATAAGATCAATAACGAAGTCTGATAGAGGAATGGGAACACACACACACACACACACACACACACACACACGCACACACACACGCACACGCACACCCACACGCACACGCACACCCACACGCACACGCACACGCACACACACACACACACGCACACACACACACACACGCACACGCACACCCACGCACACACACGCACACACACACACACACACGCACACACACACACACACGCACACACACACACACACACACACACGCACACGCACACCCACACGCACACACACACACACACACACACGCACACACACACACACACGCACACACACGCACACACGCACACACGCACACACGCACACACACACACACACACACAGACACAGACACACAGACACACACACACACACACACACACACACACACACACACACACACACACACACACACACACACACACACACACACACACACACACACACACACACACACACACACACTGCCATATGTGCGCACGCACACACACGCGCTGCCATATGTGCGCACGCACACACACGCGCGCACGCCCGCACATGCACACACACACCCACACACACATATGCGCGTAGGAGAATGCTTGATATGAATGCAGTGTTGTAATGCACATATGTACTACACGGGCAGTTTACAAAAAACGATTGAGGCCGATTGTAGTAGACACTGCAATTCAGGCAGTATCCCTGGCTGCCTGTTCTTTTATTGGGGGGAAAAAAAAAAAAAAAAAAAAAAAAAAAAACATAGATTCAGTAGATGCATTTCATGTCTCTTACCTATAATGGTTAGCTTAGGGCGTGTAGCCTACGGTTTCGTCGGCCTAGTTCCGGAACTCAGTTCCGAGCTCAATATTCGCAAGTTCCATTCGTCGCTGGAACATCGAGTTTCGAAACTGCATGTTCCATCGTTCAAACATTTGAGCAACGTGCGAAAAGTAATTTGCGAAGAAACGAGAACCAAACCCTCGTAAGCCAATCACATGCTAGGCATGACGAATCTCGCGGCACACATTTTGTTTTGTCACTCCGCGATTGGCGGTTCAGGCGCGCGAGCAAATGCGATCGTTGACTTGGTGTTTTTTTATCGCAGGCCTCGCACGTTCTTCTCGCACAGAACTGGAGGGAGATTCTCGAACAGCCGTCCGGACGTCGCTGGAACATCGAGTTTCGAAACTGAAGTATCCTTCGCTACAGGCTTAGCGAATTTACGTGCAAATTGTGGCGAAATCTGTCACCATACCAAAACTCAAACGGAACTCAGTTCCGAAACCGTAGGCTACACGCCCTTAGACCATATCCATGTGCTTGAACCTAATTGCTGTTGTACCTTACATACTCAGCATCTTGGGTGGTAACATAATAAGGGGTATATCGAATTAATGTACCTTACACGAGGGGTATCTCTATGTGCTTGAACCTTAAATACTCGGCGGTGACTTGGGTGGTACCTAGCAACATATGGGATATACAGCGAATTAATGTACCTTACATGAGTGGTATCTTGGCCGGCCACAACAGCTTGTATGCGTGCCGCCACTTCACTCTCTATACGAGCTCTGGTGAGAGGGAGAGATAGAGGGTTGGAGAGGGGTGCAGGGGGAGGGAGGTATGCAGAGGATTGCAGATGGGTGCAGAGCGGTGCCACTCCGATGTTCCTCATACAGGTGGAACCCTGGCTGGCCACAGCAGCTTGTATGCGTGCCGCCACTTCACTCTCCATGGGTGATCTGTGGAAGAAATGCAGAGAGGCGAGCTGCATCGAACCAAATTCTCGTATCAGCCTGGCTGTGGTACGGTGGTGCCCTGGCGGGGCAAAATTGACTGAACCGTGCTGTCACTTCACTCTCTAAGCGACTTTTGAGTCTACTCAAAATTGACTGAACCGTGCTGTCACTTCACTCTCGGTGCGGGCTCTGGAAAACGCAATTTTGCCCCACGGTACAGTCAATTTTGCCGCACCTCTGCACCCATTTGCGTTTTTCACTTCACTCTCTGTGCGGGCTCTGAAAAACGCAAGGGAAGAGCGGTGCAAATGGGTGCAGAGGTGTGCAGCGGGATTGATGCGCATGGAAGAGTGACCTGGACATTTGCTGACCTGGGCGTCTGCTTACATCAGCTCCTGCTCTCATGCCAGCTGTAGAACCAACGGGGCAGATGGGAGCAGAGGAGCGCAGAGGAGTGCAGAGGAGTGCAGAGGAGTGCAGAGGAGCGCAGAGGAGTGTAGAGGGGATGATGTAAACTTTTGCTCGTCTGGGTGTTTGCTTACATCAGCTCCCGCTCTCGTGCCAGCCGTAGAACCACCGGGTCTGCTGCTGCTGCTGCTGCTGCTGCTGCTGCTGCTGGTGTTGCTGCTGCTGCTGGTGCTGCTGCACCGTCTTTTGCGCCTGTAGCCTCTGCACGTCCTGCTGTTCCTTCACCAGAACCCTCTGCCATAGCACCTTCTGCCTCTGCTCCTGCCTCGGCTAATAGCTCCTGCGCACACAATGGCCCACGAGACAAAACGAGACAGACTCAAAAGTATCCGATTCTGTCAATGACCAAAAGTATCTGATTCTGTCAATGACCAAAAGTACCTGATTCTGTCAATGACCAAAAGTGTCTGATTCTGTCAATGACCAAAAGTATCTGATTCTGTCAATGACCAAAAGTATCTGATTCTGTCAATGACCAAAAGTGTCTGATTCTGTCAATGACCAAAAGTATCTGATTCTGTCAATGACCAAAAGTATCTGATTCTGTCAATGACCAAAAGTATCTGATTCTGTCAATGACCAAAAGTATCTGATTCTGTCAATGACCAAAAGTATCTGATTCTGTCAATGACCAAAAGTATCTGATTCTGTCAATGACCAAAAGTATCTCAAAAGACCCACCAGGGCAATAGCTCCCGCACACACACACACACCCACACACCCACACACCCACCCACATCCAGAATTTGATGAGCCTCAAAACGTAACTTCTGCCTCAGCTCCTGCTTGCTTCAGCCAATACCTCCCCCGCCCGCCCGCAAAGGGTTAGTTTGAGCAACAAGTTTGATTCGCACAGACTCGTCGCCTGGAAAAGTCTTTTAAGTCTCACTCACACACACACGGTGACCCACAAAGTGACTTTGAGTCGACTCAAAAGTCTTTGAAGTCTCTCACACACACACACGCACGATAACCCAGGAAGTAAAAGTTATTTGTCTTCCCTGACGTGTGTAATGAGTCGATTTTTGAGTCGACTCATTACACACGGCCTTCCCTGACTATCCTGCTCGGTCCGTAAGCCCTTTGCACAATCAGTTCTGATAAAAAGTATCTTCAACGGAGGTGGCTTCCCTTCCTCGCCCGGTTCGTCTACCTCTTGAGTCGACTCAAAAGACACCTTGTCTACCGAACCTCTCTCCCCGCCGAACCTCTCTCCCCGCCAAACCTCTCTGCCCGCCAAACCTCTCTGCCCGCCAAACCTCTCTGCCCGCCAGACCTCTCTGCTCCACGCAAGCGAGTCTCGCTAAAACAGATACGCTGACTGTGAAGCATGCATTCCCTTGTGAAACTCGCCCTGCTCGCTTAGGGAGTTTCCTCCCCCTCGTCTACCTGTTCGTCCAATTCTCTGCCCCTTAATTCACCCAATCACCCTAGCTATGCACGTGTTCTGCTCTCCCGCTGCACCCGACATCCTCCCTCTTTCAAAATGCTGTAAACTCTCTATCTCTCTCTCACCCACCTGACCAAACCACACTGCACCTCAGCAACGCACAGGTTCTCTTCCAGTGTTGAGGCGCCTCAAAACTAGGCCCGACATCCTCCCCCTTAAAAATCCCGTACCTCTATCTCTCTCTCTTCCACCCACCTGACCAAAGCAAGCACAGCTCACCTGAGCAGCGCACATGTTCTCCTCTGCTGCTGCACTCAGCACGTACCCTCCTCCTCGCCCAATATGATCTCCCCCTCCCTCCCTCCCCCTCCCTCTCTCCCCCTCCCTCTCTCCCCCTCCCTCTCTCCCCCTCCCTCTCTCCCCCTCCCTCTCTCCCCCTCCCTCTCTCCCCCTCCCTCTCTCCCCCTCCCTCTCTCCCCCCTCACTTCTCCACCTCACCTGAGCAACGCACATGTTCTCTTCTGCTGCTGCACTCAGCACTCGAGCAAGACTCTGGTTGGACGAGAGAAGGGAGGTATGGCGGGAATCGGAGGAAGACCGGGAGAAGAGCAAGGGGAGTGGGTCGGTAGTCACTGAGCAACGCACGGGTTCTCTTCCGCTGCTGCGCTCAGCACGCGAGCAAGACTCTGGTTGGAGACGCGCAGGTTAGTGGGAGGAAGACAGGGATTGGCGGGGTTGGGGCCGGGGGGGAGGGAAGGGGGAGGATTGATTAGCAAGACTCTGGTTGGAGAAGCGCAGGGTAGTGAGAGGAAGACAGGGATTGGCGGGGGAAACAAAAGGGGGGGGGGAAGCGCCATGCGTGCAGGAGGGCGGGAGGAAAGAAGTAAGAAGGAGAAAGGGAACGAGGGGGGTTGGAAAGGAAAAGTTAGAAAGGGGAAGATTAGAAAGGGGAAGATTAGAAAGGGGAAGATTAGAAAGGGGAAGATTAGAAAGGGGAAGACGGTCAATCAAGAGTGGAGCAAGATGAGCTGGCGAAGCGAGACTGTGGTAGCAAGAGTCTTCCTCAAATTCCACAGGAAGTGTATTCATTTTCAGGCGTAAAAAAAAAGCTGGCGAGACTGCAGGTGGGTGCAAGATTCTTGGTGAAATCCCACGGGAAGTGAAATATTTCACCTAAGGGAGGTGCAACGACACGGTAATAATGTGTTATGAGTCTATTTTTTAGTCGACTAAAAAACATTTCACTTGAGAGGGGCAACGACACGGCAATCATGTGTTATGAGTCTATTATTGAGACCATTCAAAAATATTTCACTCAAAGGGAGGTGCCATGACATGGTAATCATGTGTTATGGGTCTATTATTGAGTCGACTCAACAATATTTCACTTAAGGGGAGGTGCAATGACATGGTAATCATGTGTTATGGGTCCATTATTGAGTCGAATAAAAAATATTTCACTTAAGGGGAGGTGCAATAACATGGTAATCATGCGTTATGAGTCTATTTTTTAGTCGACTAAAAAAAAATTCACCTTAGCGAAGTGCAACGACACTGTAAACATGCATTTCTTTACACGTGAAATCAGATGATGACGTCATTCCATGCACTTCTGTATCTGTGCTTTTATGCCATCACACCATGCACTGCTGCAGCTGCATATCAAGATGCCCCCCAGAAGCTTATGCCTGACATGTGTGGAGTGGCGGCTTGAACCTAAACCCCCAAAACTCTGACCTGGCATTAACCGTGCACCTTAGAACCAAGCCCCAAACCCAGAAAATGCTGCAGCTGCTTATCGAGATGCCCCAGAACTTTATGCCTGTCATGTCACATGTGTGGAGTGGTGGCTTCAACCTAAACCCCCAAACGCCAACACCGTACCCCAAACCCGGAGTCATCATACCATGCACTGCTGCAGCTGCATATCGAGATGCTCCAGAAGCTTATGGCGAGCTGCACTGCAAACTGACATGTGCTGGCCTGGGCGCGGATTTGACAGAAAGGGGAAGTCGCAAAAATGGCAAATATTTGCAAAGTTTTGAGAGACTTCCATCGCATATTGACATGTGAAGGCAGGAGGGAGGGGAGTGGAGAAAGGGGAAATCGCAAGACAGAACAGGCGTCACCACAATCTGACAAGCGACAGCATGCAAGCAGAAGAAGGGAGCGAGGGGGAGAAATTGGGGGTCCGGGGTGAGGAGGGAGAGATGGGAGAGTGAATGTAACCTCCCCGTGTGTATTGAGTCTATTTTTGAGTCGACTAAAAAATGTAACCTCCCCCAGCTGATTCCCTCCAACCCGGAATATGCACAGAGAATTTAAAGTCCAAGGTTTAAGGTTGACGTTTTAGGGTTTAGACTCTAGCCCGAAACCCTGACCCCTTGCCTTTAGAACTGAATTGTAAGTTTTATGGAAAACAACTTAAAGCGAGGGTCTCGAGAAGCAAAAAAACCAATCCCTAAGGTTTTGGTTTCGGGGGGTCTCGAAAATTGCGAAGTGTGGTGAGGGGTGCTAGTTGGGCGCTGTTACTGTTTCGCTGATTTCGTCAACCCAAAACCAAACCTTTTGGATTTGGTTTTTTGCTTCTCGAGACCCTCGCTTTAAGAGACGATTGGAGCAGTCACGACCAACCAACCATGAGGACGCAGGAGTAGGATCACGTTGAAGACCAACCAATGAGAGGAAGGAGAGTTGCCACCTGTGCATCTCTGGCCCTCCACGTGGCATCCCATGCTCTCTTCAAGTGCTGCAGTTCAGCAAACGTGGCAAAACGCATGGCAGCGAATGCAAGTCGGATGTGGGGGAAGGGAAATGGGGTTGCGCCACGTGGTATGTGGCACGTGGTATGTGGCATGTGACATGTGTGTGTGTGTGGGGGGGGGGGTATTGCCAAGAGTTGCAACCGCTGCATCCCTGGCCCTCCACGTTACATCCCCCCTCTCTAATTCCTGGAATGCAGGAGGAGAGGAGGACAGCAGGGAGAGTTTTTTGAGGCGCCTCAAAAGGCAGGGAGAGTAAGACGATGAGACCTGATGTGTGAGTGCGAGGGAGGGATCGAGGCCAGTTAGCATGAGCCTTGCCTGTGTTATTAGTATAGTTTCCACACGCTGTCGCACACAAGCCTCCTCATCCTCCGGATGCCCTGCTCCATCCATCCTAGCCTGGTTCCTTCTTGCTCTGGCGGCGCTTGTAGGTAATGCGATTCGCTGTCCGACTCTCCTGAGAAATCCCCGAGACTAGATCTCGTGTCCTCTAGCTCTCAAACCCCTCTTGTTTGGTTTTGCAGGGTGTTTTTGAGAATTCTCAAAAACACCCCTCTTGTTTGGTGTCTTTTCATGGATCTGGCTTTGGCTCAGTATTACATCCAGTGACAACGAGCATACAGGCCTTCCCACGATTGCAAGAGAACGAACAGAGTAAGCAAGAAACAGCTTTCCAGCGGTTTTAGGCTACTCCGAGCAAACGCACTACTGAGCCCTCCCCTTCCCTCCCGTACGACCAGCCGCGCGCCATTTTCGAGGTTTTCGCCACCATGATGGCCCCAACCTTCCTGCCATCGGATCGACCAATCCACTTGCCGCATGTCCATCCAGCGAGCCGCTCCAGCCCCCGGTGTCCTGTATTACATCAGCCTCGGACACTGCCAGCTATCGCAACCGCCCTCCCAGGGTCTCACTCCACCCATCACTGTACACTCACCGAAAGTCACATAAGGCCCTACAGTACTTCTGTGCTACACCGCTCCACCTCTAACCTTAAGCGCTGTCCCATGAATTGCAAATAACTTTCCAGTTAATGCAATTCATGCGACAATGCCCCAAAACTACATGATTATGACATGGCACGGCAGGGAGTGTAAGGCAATGAGACCTGACATGTGAGTGCGAGGGAGCGAACGAGGCCAGGCCAGTGAGAATGAGCCGTGCCTGCAGAGTGGTTACAGATGGAAATGTGGTTACAGTTGTCCATGTGGTTGGGAAATGTCTATAGCGGGGATGAACAGATGAACATTGAACAGACCGAGGTGAGCATGCCTGAGAGGTGAGTGCGAGGGAGCGATAGAGGCCAGTGAGAGAATCGATGGATCTCGCGCAGAGCTCCACGTCCGTCAGTGCCTGCTGCTCGCGAGCCCTCTTGACTCTGTAGTGGGGAGCATTATAGTGGGGATGAGGACAGACGTCAACGGAATGGATCTCGCGCAGAGCTCCACGTCCATCAATGCCTGCTGCTCGCGGGCTCTCTTTACCCTGTATTAAACAAATCAGTGATAGCATAGATAAGCATTATAGCGAGGATAAGTTCAAAAATCGATGGATCTTGCGCAGAGCTCCACGTCCATCAATGCCTGCTGCTCGCGAGCTCTTTGGACCTTGTAGTAAATCAATAAGTGATAGCACGGATGAGCATTATAGCGGGGATAAGTTCAAAAGTCACCAGACTGAGCGCAGAGCTCCACGCCCATCAATGCCTGTCTGCTGCTGCTGCCTGCTGCTCACGGGCTCTCCTGAACCTGGTGTTAAGATTGCCATGAAGAGCACTATAGCGGGGCAGGGACACGCTCAAGAGTCAACAGACTGAGCACAGAGCGACTGACCTGGTGATGAGAAACTGTAGCGGAACTGATAGTAACGGGGTAATCGGAACTACTGGGCCGCTGCTTAGAGACGTGCTAGCTGGTGGACCTCCACTCTCCATTTCGATTAATAACGCGCAGAAGCCCACACAAGTTATTACCCTAGGCTAGGCTAACAACCTAGCCTTGATAATTAGCAGCTGGTAGCGGGGTGTTACGGAATTAAGTTCGGTAGCTGCGAAAATCTTAGAGCGTAACCTAACCGAGCGCCTGACAGCCGATTCTTGGAACAGTCGCGAAATGACGCTGACAATGACAGTGACAATGGTCGGCAACACCATAAAATGCGCTGAGGCGAGGGAGGGTGCTGTACTTTCCCCGCAGGTGCGCAGACTGAAACGAGGGGCGTTGTGCCAATGCTGGGAACGGGAAATGCCCCCCCTGGTACGGACACAGACGTGGACACAGGCGTGGAATCTATGCAGGAGCTAGGCTTAGGTTTAGGTGGCTCCCTTCCCTTACCTGCTATCACCAGCAGCACTTGGTACTATCTAGGGTGCTGGGTGCTTCGTGTTGTGTGTTCAGGCGCGTCACCAGAATATACCGCACTGAAACACACAGAAGTTGCATTTTAACCAGACTGCACCGCAAATTTGATGCAGCGATGGTGAACTCTGGTTATTCGTCAGGCTGACGACAGGATCCAGGTGGGGTGTCAATTTTCGCATGGCTCGGTTTCGCTAAACCAAGGATCACTGTCACTCTAAGATTTCGCGAGAGTTCGCATGCATGTCGTTCCCAGTTACCCAGACTCGGGCCCACTTGGTCCATTTTCTCTCAGAAATCCTGTCCTCCCCACTGTCAAGCCCCCTCTCCATCCCTCCACTTCAAACTCTAGGGTTACCATCTGAAACCCCAAACCCTTACGGTACAACTGCAATTCCTCCTCGGCATCCCCCCCGCAATCCACCCTCCAACCGCTTCTCTCTGCTCTCCCTTGCCGACTCTCGAGTTTCCGCACAACATACCCCTTTCGTTTCTAGGAGTACGAAGGACGAGCGACTTCGTTCTGATTCTTCAGAAGCTCTCGAAACCAACGTGCCCTGACCTGACCTCTCTCGACATGACGTCAGCGGCCCGCGTAATAGATGCTTCGATTCTGTCCATCAATCTGCCGCGTGTGCCTAGGCACGACCCAGGGCGTGTTCTAAGGCACCGTGGGCTCGATCCCAGGACTACTCGTCACCGCATTTCCGTAGCCGCGCGGCTTCCCTCCTCCTCCCCCGGTCATTCTCGCTCCTCCTGCTTCGTTGACGAGTCTCGGAGAGTTAAGAATGTCTCGTTTTCGCACGGATGCTCGGTTTTCTCGTCCAGCTTTATTCCCGTCGAAATTGCCGGGAATGCGAATGCGGTGGCATTGCCACGTACCTGCCGGGCTAGCGCAGCGCCGTCCTCGGCGGGACCTTCCTCGGGTATACCGTCCTCGGTAGCACCTTTCCCAGAAACGCCTTCCTCCGAGGTAGCGCGTAATAGCACTTCCGGAAAGCCGTCGCGCGGGCAGGCGAAAAAGGGGGCCAAGAAGGGCGGGCAGAAGAAGGAAAATTATTACAAGTCGGACGATAACGATTTGGAGTTCGGAAGCATCGAGGAAATGCAGCGATGGCTGACGACCAAACCCAAGGGGTTTATCGACCCGTCGAAACAGTACGATACTTCCTTAGAGGACCAGCTCTTAGCGGAGATAGAAGCAAAGGAGCAGCAGAAGGAACTGGAGGCAGCAGCGGGTGGGGGGGATAAGGCGGGAGCGAATGCGGGGGAGAAGGCGGGTGAGGGGAAGGGGGAGAAGCAAGGGGAGAAGAAGGGGAGGAGCAAGCAGGCAGGAGATTTCGATGGGCCTGTGAAGGGGAAAAATACCAAAGGTCAGTATTTTCCCTTTTTTTATTGACTCTGTTTAACATTCAAGATTTCCCTTCTTTTATATGGTAACTCCATTGCCCTACCACTAACGCTGTAGGGCGACTATTTTTCCTCATGATTTTAGGCTCAACGCTTTGCTATTGACAGCATAAAAAAATTTTACCGGCAGGGTTTTTGTGGTTCTGGGCTCTCGGGCTCAATTCCGTTGCAGTAGCCGGGGCGAATGAGCGCGCGCAGCTTGGGCTAAAGGCACCTAGGAGGGTGCTAGGACTAAAGGCACGTGCCAGGGTTTTTGTAGGGATTTGGGGGTTTCGGCTCTCGGGCTCTCGGGCTCAAGTCCGTTGAAGTAGCTGGGACGAATGAGTGCGTGGAGCTCGTGCGTTGGGCACCTGGCAGGGTTCTGGGCTTAAGGCACCTGGCAGGGTTCCGGGCTTAAGGCACCTGACAGGGTTCCGGGCTTAAGGCACCTGGCAGGGTTCTGGGCTTAAGGCACCTGGCAGAGTTCTGGGCTTAAGGCACCTGGCAGGGCGTTTGTAGGGTTTGGGCTCTCGGGCTCTCGTATGTTGAAGTAGCCGGGGCGAATGAGTGCGTGGAGCCTGTGCCTTGGCACGCGGCGGGGTTCTGGGCAAGGCACCTGGCAGGGTTCTGGGCTTAAGGCACCTGACAGGGTTCCGGGCTTAAGGCACCTGACAGGGTTCCGGGCTTAAGGCACCTGGCAGGGTTCTGGGCTTAAGGCACCTGGCAGGGTTCCGGGCTTAAGGCACCTGGCAGGGTTCCGGGCTTAAGGCACCTGGCAGGGTTCCGGGCTTAAGGCACCTGACAGAGTTCCGGGCTTAAGGCACCTGGCAGGGTTCCGGGCTTAAGGCACCTGACAGGGTTCCGGGCTTAAGGCACCTGACAGGGTTCCGGGCTTAAGGCACCTGGCAGGGTTCCGGGCTTAAGGCACCTGGCAGGGTTCCGGGCTTAAGGCACCTGGCAGGGTTCCGGGCTTAAGGCACCTGGCAGGGTTCCGGGCTTAAGTCACCTGGCAGAGTTCCGGGCTTAAGGCACCTGGCAGGGTTCCAGGCTTAAGGCACCTGACAGAGTTCCGGGCTTAAGGCACCTGGCAGGGTTCCGGGCTTTAAGGCAATAGGCGGGGTTCCAGGCTTAAGGCAATAGGCGGGGTTCCGGGCTTAAGGCAACAGGTGGCGTTCTGGGATTAAGGCAGTTGACTATGCGACTTTTCTGACCACTCCAGTTCACTGTGCTAAAAAATTGTGCTTTTTCGCTCTCCCCGCCCATTCCCCGCCCCCCCTCCCCTAACCTCCTCTCCCCCTCCCCTAACCTCCTCTCCCCCTCCCCCCTGCCAAATCCCTAGACTCGTAGCTTCCGCCTTCCGCGATCACAGTCCGCGTGTCCGGGCTGTGATTTGGAACTGTGCTTTCCCTCTCTCCCCGCCCATTCCCCGCTCCCTTTCCTCCTCCCCCTCCCCCCCCCCCACCCCCCCTATTCCAAATCTCTAGACTCGGAGCTTCCGCCTTCCGCCATCAAAGGTCTTCTTGCGGATTGGCTCAAAGCGGTTCTGAGCAAATCCGTTCCACCCTCTCCCCCTCCCCTCCCCCCGCCGATTCCAAATCTCTAGAGTCGGAGCTTCCGCCTTCCGCCATCAAAGTCCGCGTGTCCGGGCTGCCCAAGAAGAAAAAGATCGGCAGAGATCTGCGGGCAGCGTGGAACGGGCAGCCCGGGCTGCTGAAAATAATTCCCATGGAGACCGGATCCTCCTCTACTCGCGACCCTGTGTGCACTGGGAGTGCCGTGGTGGCGTTTCTGAAATTGTCAGATGCTGAAAGGTGGGTTCAGTGCGGTTCATATGGTTTCAGTTCAGTGTGGTGCAAATGCGTTCAGTGCAGTGCTAGTCGGTGTAAGTGGGTGGTAGCATGTACGGATCCCCATGGAGACCGGATCCTCCTCTACTACTCGTGACCCTGTGTGCACTGGGAGTGCCGTGGCGTGGTGGCGTTTTTTAAGTTATCAGATGCAGAAAGTTGGGTTCAGTGCGGTGCAAATGGGTTAAGTGTTCTGCAAGTCGGTGTGGGTGGGTGGTAACATGTACTGATCTCCATGGGGACCATTGCACCCTCCTCTTCACACGTGACCCTGTGTGTGTGAAGTGAACTGGGAGTGCGTGGTGGCGTTCACGCGACCAGCAGATGCTGAAAGGTGGGTGTAGGGAGGTGCAAGTGGGCTCAATGCGGTGCAAGTCGGTGTGGATGTGGTGCCAGCATTTCTTATTTCCCGTGGAATCCGAGTCCTATTCCACACGTGACCCTGTGTGCACTGGGAGTGCTGTGGTGGCGTTTTAGTGACTGGCAGACGCGGAGAGGTATGCACAGCAACACAGGGTTGTAGATGGGTGCAGTGCGGTCCGAGATGGTAGCACACAGGTCAGGACCCTGTGTGTATTGGGAGTGCTGTGGTGGCGTTTCAGCTGCCTCTGCTGCCTCTGCTGCCTCTGCTGCCCTCTGCTGCCTCTGCCGCCTCTGCTGCCTCTGCCGCCTCTGCTGCCTCTGCCGCCTCTGCTGCCTCTGCTGCCTCTGCTGCCCTCTGCTGCCTCTGCTGCCTCTGCTGCCCTCTGCTGCCTCTGCTGCCTCTGCTGCCCTCTGCTGCCTCTGCTGCCTCTGCCGCCTCTGCTGCCTCTGCCGCCTCTGCTGCCTCTGCTGCCTCTGCTGCCCTCTGCTGCCTCTGCTGCCTCTGCTGCCCTCTGCTGCCTCTGCTGCCTCTGCCGCCTCTGCTGCCTCTGCTGACCCTGTTGGCTCTGTTGGCTCTGTTGTTTCTCTCTTCCCCTTCCCCCACCAGGTTCATCCAGCAGTACAATCGCTCAGCCCCCATCCGCTTCGGCCAGAAGGAGAAGGCCGTCTCCTGCAAGATAATCGGCGCCTCTGCTGACTCCTCCTCTCTGCCCCAAGCTGACCGTGCTAAGAGCACCTCCGTTAAGAGCACTTCTGTTAAGAGCAGCTCCGTTAAGAGCAGCTCCGTTAAGAGCACTGACGCTACAGTCACTCTGGGGGAAACTGCTGTTCAGAGCAGCGCTGGAAAGGGAGATGTACCGAGCGTAAAGAGGGATAGCGCCCGTGCTGCTGCTGCGGCTGATGCCGAAGAACCAGTAGAGGCGCCAGCAGCGCCAGCATCAGCACCAGCGGCAGCGGTAGCACCAGCAGCAGATGCAGCGGCAGCGGCAGCAGCAGAAGCAGAGCCGGAAGCAGAAGGTGCGATGGCAGCAGTAGGAGGAAGTCGACAAGCGGGTGATAAGCAAGTGGCAGATGAGCGGAAGGTAAAGGAAGCGGGAGAGGGAGAGAAGGTTGCAGCGACTAAGGGAGAAAAGAAAGCCCTGGGTAATAAGGTGCAGGGGAATGGTAAACTGCAGGAGAGTACTAAACTGCAGGATAAGAAGGAGGTATGGTTGCAGCGACTAAGGGAGGATAAGGAGCTGAGAGCACGAGTAGAGGAGATTAAGAGCCGAGTCTTAAGAGATATGGCGGCAGCAGGGAAGGACGGGGAAGGGGGGGCTGGAGGTGGGGTTGGGGGGAGTGGGAGACTGAGGGTGAAAGAAAAGGGCGTGACTGTATCGAGATTGGGTGTGGGGGATAGGAGAGGGGGAGAGGAGACGGGAGGTGGAGAGAGGAGGGTTGTGGAGAGGAGTAGGAGGGAGATGGAGAGGGGGGGTGGGAAGGAGGAGGTCGGGGTGAAGGGAAGGTGGAGAGGAGAGGAGGGAGGATTGAGGGGGAGAGAGGAGGAGGAGTGGGAGGAAGAGGAGGAGGAGGAAGGAGAATGGGAGGAGCTGGAGGACGAGGAGGAATGGGAAGGTGAGGAGGAGGAAGATCAGAGCGAAAGTGAGGAGGACGAAGAGGAGGAAGAGGAGGAGGAGGAAGAGGAAGTGATAGTGGGCCAAGTGGAAGTGACTGTTGAGAGTGTTACAGTGGAGAGTGTTACTGTTGAGAGTGTGACAATTGAGAGTGTTACAGTTGAGAGTGACATTTCCTCGCTACAGTCACATGGGAAGGCAAAACGGATGCCGCAAGCACAAGTAGAGGAGCGTTTAGAAGCCTCAACCTCAACAGAGCAGGGTGGGGTTTCAGCAGCCACAGGAAAGGCAGCAAGTGCAGCAGCAGCAGCAGCAGCAGCAGCAGCAGCAGCAGAAACTTCACGTGGTGCCTCATCACCCATTTCTCTCTCGCCCAAGAAGGGAGAGTCAGAGCAGCAACGAAGGGCAGAGGAGGAGGAGCAGCAGAGGGCAGCTGAGGCTCGCATAGAGGCCCTTGAAGCGAAGCTGCTTAAACTGAGTCAGGCGGGAGGGGGTGAAAATGAGGGGGGAGGGGGAGCAGGGAAGGGGAAGCGGGGGAAGGAGGGGAAGAAGCGCAGATAGTCTTTTAAGGAGCGCGGCTGAATCTCACACTGAGGCTCTTGAATCGAAGCTGCTTAAAATGAGGCAGGGAGGTGGAGGAGAGAGGAGAAGGGGGGAGCAAGGGAGCAGGAATGGCGAGGCGAGGCCAGGAGGGAAGTAAGTGCAGGCCGACTTGAAGCTATTGAAACGAAGCTGCTTATGGTGATGCAGGGGGGAGGAGGGGGGAAATGCGAGAGGAGGGAGTGGGGAGGAGGGGGAAATGAGGGAGGAGCGGGAGGAGCAGCGAAGGGGAGGCCGCATGAGGGGGAAGAAGTGCAGAGCAGATAAACAACTCTTCTAAGCTGGTCGGCTGAAGCCGGCTCTGAGGATCTCCAAGCAAGACGAGCAGAGGGAATGCGAGGAGAAAAAGTGCAGATAGGTGCTCTGTTACTGATAAGGTGTAAGCAGCCACTTGATTACGGTACTTTCTATGTCGGAGTATGGGGGAGCTTGTCTGTCTCATGCCATTCTGAATGCTGCAAGAACTTTGCCACAACTCAGTGTTCACATGCATGCATACATGCCCCTCTCTGAGTAAACATGCCATTGACTATCCCAGCATGCACCAAAGAGAATCATGAGTTGAGGGCACTAGTGTGAAACAACCAATTCAAGTAGATCAACGGACAAGAAGCTGCATGGCAGATTATCAACGGGTGGTGTTCATCACCCAGCTTCAGTGCGGAATGTATTGAGTGACCCGCTGGGGTTGCCCTTGAGATCCTCGGGGAAGGGCCACAGGTGCAGAGCCTGGGGGGCTATGGGCGCACTTACCCGCTATTCAACAAGCCCTTTTAACCCAGTGGTTAATGACTGGGTTTCTTACATGGTATCAGAGCCAAAGGTCTTGGGTTCAACTCCCAGTGCCAGCGCTGCAGAGGCGCTTGTGTCTTCCACCTATCCCAGCGGAGGGGGGGGTGTTGAGTGACCCGCTGGGGTTGCCCTTGAGATCCTCGGGGAAGGGCCACAGGTGCAGAGCCTGGGGGGCTATAGGCGCACTTACCCGCTATTCAACAAGCCCTTTTAACCCAGTGGTTAGTGACTGGGTTTCTTACATGGTATCAGAGCCAAAGGTCTTGGGTTCAACTCCCAGTGCCAGCGCTGCAGAGGCGCTTGTGTCTTCCACCTATCCCAGCGGGGGGGGGGGGGGGGGTGTTGAGTGACCCGCTGGGGTTGCCCTTGAGATCCTCGGGGAAGGGCCACAGGTGCAGAGCCTGGGGGGCTATGGGCGCACTTACCCGCTATTCAACAAGCCCTTTTAACCCAGTGGTTAGTGACTGGGTTTCTTACATGGTATCAGAGCCAAAGGTCTTGGGTTCAACTCCCAGTGCCAGCGCTGCAGAGGCGCTTGTGTCTTCCACCTATCCCAGCGGGGGGGGGGGGGTGTTGAGTGACCCGCTGGGGTTGCCCTTGAGATCCTCGGGGAAGGGCCACAGGTGCAGAGCCTGGGGGGCTATGGGCGCACTTACCCGCTATTCAACAAGCCCTTTTAATCCAGTGGTTAGTGACTGGGTTTCTTACAGAATGCTCCTCCTTTCAGCAGGCTCTGGCGCTGGCGCTGGTGGAGTTTCCCTCTGAGGGCAAGTCCCAGTGTACGGTGCAACCCAATGGGAAACAGTTTTCCAGCTTCTCTTTGGTAAGGACATGCCGTGAGGGACATCCGTAAGGATTCTCAGTTCCGGTAACTTTGCAGGCCAAATAATAGGAGTGATTAGAGAAAACTACTATCAACATGCTACAAAACAGAGATTAGTATGCACTAAGAGAAAAAAACACTAGGCTTATGCGCTCGTGAATTTCGTCACGGCTTTCGTCCCTTCAGAAACAGCGTGCTTCGCCAGCTCCCCAGGCAGCGTCAGCCGCACAGCCGTCTGAATCTCGCGAGACGTAATTGTCGGCTTCTTATTATACCGCGCGAGCTTCGACGACTCCGTCGCGAGCTTCTCGAAGATATCGTTGATGAACGAGTTCATGATCGACATGGCCTTGGACGAAATCCCCGTGTCTGGATGCACCTGCTTCAGCACCTTGTAGATGTAGATCTTGTAGGTCTCCGTGACGGCCTTGCGAGCCTTTTTCTTCTCCTTCTTCTCTCCGATGGGCTTCTTTCCGGCAGGAACGGCTTTCTTAGCGGCGGGCTCCTTCTTGGGTCCCTTCTTCGCGGCCTTCTGCTCTCCCTCTACCTTAGGAGCCATCTGAACGCAGCGGTTACTGACGATCGGAAAGGTGACGAAGAGAGAGAGTTGACGAGGAACGCAACTCAAAACGAAGCGAAAACTCTAAGAGCGGAGCGTTGCTGTCAAGATCGTTGAGAAGGACTTGCGAATTGCAGAGTGAGTAGCTCGGACTAATGACTATTTCTGCTGCACCGACGTATTTGAAGGGACTAGGCTGCAGTTGCGCTTGATGGGTTTCCCTCGATGTTTGCTTTGAACGGAGCAAGGCAGGAAACGAGGGGGTTTGTGCTTTTGAACTAGCCAATAGTTAACTGGGTGACGGATCGAGATGTGGCATATGGACCGTTCGATAAATAATCATGGGCGAAATCGTTCGACCGGGAATTGCGGCTTTTCTTGCCGCTGTTCCCATTCGATTTCAGCTGGTTTGATCCAACGGTGAAAATTTTGCTTTCGTTCATGATGGTGTAACTTCGCGACTTGCAATTCGTTGGGTGCAACTTTTGCTTCCGACCTGGTTCCAAAAGCCAATCACAGAACGCTCTGGCAAGTTTTTGGGATCGACGTGAATGCCGTAAAACCGTCGATAGCACGCCTCCGAACTGCCCATCGACGATTGAAACGCACTGGAAAACAACACAAACTCGTTCGATGAGGAATGCAGCAGCACCAGACGAGGCAGGCTGGAATTTCACTCGCTTGCCTGGACTCAATCAATTCGCCCAGCCCAACCAATTCGCCTGCAGGGCGGGGAGGGAGACCAGCCAGACCATTCCCCTTGCCCCATTTGCCCTGTACGTACATACCCCAGTTGAGCAGCAACGCGCTGCCCAACGCTCCAAGCTGGTCGGAATAAAGCCAGAGCTCATTGCTCCTGGTTCCATGGTTCCAGTTCCTTCTCTTCCGAAGTTCCTGTTCCTTCTCCAATCTCAAGTACATCAGCACTTTCCGAGCGCTGCTTGCTTTGTCAGCATCTAGAGCTGCTTATCTTCTTGACATCATTCGACCCAGACCGATCTGCAAGGCGTCGTCTGCATTTCTCAACCCCACTTTCAGCTTCAGGAAAACTTGGACATCTTCGATCCGTCTGTGCGTGCGCTTTTAATCTCGACCGTTCATCATGTCGGGACGTGGCAAGGGAGGCAAGGGTCTCGGAAAGGGAGGCGCAAAGCGTCACAGGAAGGTTCTTCGCGACAACATCCAGGGCATCACCAAGCCGGCCATCAGGCGACTCGCTCGCCGCGGCGGCGTGAAGCGTATCAGCGGTTTAATCTACGAAGAGACTCGCGGCGTGCTGAAGGTGTTTCTTGAGAATGTCATTCGCGACGCTGTGACGTACACGGAGCACGCGCGGAGAAAGACGGTCACTGCCATGGATGTGGTTTACGCTTTGAAACGCCAAGGCAGAACGCTGTACGGGTTTGGCGGCTAACTCGTGACTGACCTTGTCCCTAAGCGATTAGGAGCCTTCTGCAATAGAATCTGGTTTTTGCCGCAATTCTAAGATTTTCCTTTACATTCGTGTATAAATTTCTCCAATAATTATTACAGATCTGTAGAAATGTGCATCAACAGAGTCTGATTTGAGGATTGGTATGCAGCCTGCATTTTACCGTGAACAGAACCCATGTGCCGTCAAAAGCTATCGGTTTAGGCTCAATTCGTCAAATTATACAGTACATAGCCAAGGCCCGTAAAGCTGGTCAGCCCACTTCAAAACTTCCTCGGAAACCCCACAATCGTGGATGCAGTATGTTTCACCACCTCCCAGCAGTTCCAGGAGGCTCATGGAATAGGTGATCGTTCTAAGGAGCTAAGGGCGTGTCACTAAAGTATGTCCGATTGCGGTTCGCAAAGATGCTTTGCGTTCTGAAACGGTCAAATAAATTTATAGAGCGGTTTAGTATGGTATTTTGCCAAAACGATTTTTGGTGACACGCCCTAATCAACTCAGCAGGTGCATGTTCCTGATAAGGCGGCCTCCCACTGCGTTACCTTCTGACGCGCCAACGCCGTCGCAGATGCGTCGTCATGCGACGTGCCACTTGGCGACACATCTGGACGGGCGTTTTTTCGCGTGACGGATCTCCACCGTTGATCAATTCGTCGTTGAACCGAGCTTCCCACTCAATCGCCCTAGTAGCCGCCTCGAGTCGTCATCTCCAAAACACGTCGCCTCTTAAACTAAGGACGTTCCAGAATATCTTCGGGCCGCATTCGCGAGATTCGCGCTACCCGTTGGGAGTTGTCGAGCCGCCAGCCCGGATCCACCTTTGTCAGACCCTAACTAGTCAGCTGCGTATGCTGTCTAATAGCAGCGGAAGCGACAACCGTGTTAGAATCAGCAGCAGCATCAGCAACGGCAACGACGGTAGCAATGGGGCCAGCATTGGCAGCGACAGCAGCGGCGTTGCGAAGGGCTGGTCGCATCACAACATGACGATATCCCGCGCCGCTGATATCCTCATGGCTCCGCCAGTGAAACCAAAGCGCCTCGGGTAAGATTCGCCATCAGTTGCAAGGCTGCTCGCACTGGTCGCACTGGTCGCACTGGTCGCACTGGGAGCAAGGGCTGGTCGCATGACCAGATGAAGGTATCCCGCGCCGCGGATATCCTCATGGCGCCGCCCTTCAAGCCGAAGCGCCTCGGGTAAGTTTCAGTATCGGTTGCAATGGCTGCTCGCTGCTCGCAATGGCAATGGCAATGGCAATGGCAATGGCAATGGCAATGGCAATGGCAATGGCCGCGCTGTTTACATTATCCAGGGAGCACGCACCTAATGAGTTAGGTGGGTGAGGGATCTATTTTTGAGTCAGGTGAGTGCGTTTTAATCTTCTAGTGGAGTTGAGTTCGGAGTTTCAAATTCTCGGTTTTTGAACAGGGGTATCTTTTTAAACTGTCACTCTTTTGCTAAAGTTTTTCCTCTCCGCTGCTGCCCACCCTAACGCTTAATGGCTACAAGTTCGTGAGGGATCTATTTTTGAGGCGCCTCAAAAATAGACTCCTCACGCATGAGTTAGGTGAGTGAGGGTGCATAAGTGTTCCGCGCTGATCACATTCTTCTGGCTCCACCAATCAAATTAGGTGTGTGTTTTGAGTCGACTCAAAACACTCCACCAATCAAACCGATGGACTACTGTAGGCCAATGCAGGACCTCCCCCGTTACTTTCCCTTCCCCTTTGACCCGTATTTCAAGAGCCCGTTCCTCATGTGAGCTCTCCTCTCTCCCTTCCTCTCTCACATTCTCTCCTCCCCCTCTAAATTCATTTCCCAGGCCGGACTTCCACTCCTGGCAGGTGGGTGTTGCATTGCGTGCGTGCATGCCTTCCTGTGACCCGATTTTTTAGGCGCCTCAAAAACCTGGTTTTTGAGGCGCCTAAAAAAATTGTGTTGCATTGCGTGCATGCCTTCCTGTGACCTGAGTCTCAACAGCCCACTCCTTACATGCTTTCCCCTCACTCCCCTCCCTTCACCTACACTTCTCTTAAAACCAATCTCCAGGTTGGACTTCCACATCTGGCAGGCAATCGTTGCGTGCATGCCTCCTCTAGGTGCGTCGCCATGCCAGAAGCTCGTTCAAACGCTTTAAATAAAGACTCTTTCAACTGTTTGAAGACTCGTAAAACACTGCTCAAATATGTGGGGCAAGAGCATATCTCGCACTTTTATTGTACTTCATCAGAAAAAGTGATAATCGCAGTTCTATACCCCCCCTCCCCCTCTCTTCTTCTCCTCCCCCCCCACCCCACCCTCCTCCGCACCCCCCTTCGTCCCCCCCACCCTTCGATTTTTAGCCTTGTCAATTATCCCCCGTCTTTCCCCCCTTCCCCCTCCCTCTCCCCTTCTCTCCCTCCTCCCTTCCCCCTTGCGGCGGTTTATCTGACCGTGCAATACGCCAAAGCAGAGATCGACAGGCGACCTTTGTAATGGCTGCAGGGTCAGCTCCCCCCCGCCCCCTTTTCCCACCCCCTCCTGTCTCTCCCCCACCTCCCTCCCCCCCTGCAGCGGTGTATCTGACCGTCGTCCCTCTCCCTCCTCCCTTCTCCCCCCCCCCCTGCAGCGGTGTATCTGACAGTGCAGTATGCCAAAGCAGAGATCGACCGGATGGAAAGGGTGAGTGCGGGTATCCTTTTAAGGGGGGCAGGGGGAGAGGGGGAGGGTGGGGGGAGGGGGTTTGGGGGAGGGGGGGGGATGAGTGGGGAGCATGCTTTGGACTGTAGCGATCACACTTGTGACTGTATCTGGTGGACTGTGGGGGATCGTACTTGTGGCATATTTCACACTTTTATCTGACAGTGCAATATGCCAAAACAGAGATCGACTGGATTGAAAGAGTGAGTGTTGGGAGCTGGCTGTCGGGGGTGGGGGGTGGGGGGAGCAGGCCCCTCGATTTCCCTAGGGGTCGCCCTGCAGAGTACGAGTTTACCCCGGGTCCGGCTCGTCCAGACTTTTGAGTCGACTCAAAAGTCGGCCCGTCCAGGCTGGGTAGGCCTGACATTCTGGACTGTTTTTGCAGACCAGAAGAGTATCGACCAGGTCGGAATGTTCCTCTCCCTAGAATGTCAGGAGGGGTTCTTTGTTTTGCCAGGGAAGCGAATGCTTTAATTAGATTTAGTTTTGAGGCGCCTCAAAGCCAGGGAGCGAATGCTTTAATTAGATATTACAGGGTGGGTGGGTCCATCCCCCTACCCTGAAATTGGCCGTGGGGTCAGTTTGGCTCCTCCGTCCACGTACGGGTATCGATACTATAAATGCGTCAAAAGCAGGGCTAGACCGAAAGCACTGTAATTACCCAGTTTTCCGTGACAAAGCAGTGTAATTACTGTGACACCCAGAGGCCTGAGGTGAAGGGGGAGGGGGGGGAGAGGTTGGGGGGGAGCATTGAGTGTGTGGTGGAGTGTGGAAATCAGATGCACTCCCTCCCGGGAGTATCTGACTGCGATATGCCAAAGCAGAGCTATTCAGGATGGAAGGGTGTGTGCAGGGAGTTGGCTTGGGGGGGATTGGGTGTTTTCTGGAGCGAGTGTGTAGGGAAGTGTGTGGGAGGGACTAGTGTGTAGGGGATCATAGGACAGATTACAGCTCAGCTTGTATTTGACTGTGCAATGTGCTAAGAAGGAGCTGGGTTGGGGGGGGGAATTCAGTGTGTTCTGGAGTGTGGGACAATAGTGCACCCCCGAGTGTAACACTGTGCAATATGCTAAGCCAGACAACGAGGGCATAGAAAGGGTGAGAGTGGGGAGTGGGGTTTGGGGGGGGAGACCAGAGTGTTCGGAAGTGTGGGACTAGAATGCAATGCACACCCGAGTGTAACTGACTGTGCAATGTGCTAAGCTAAGCAACGGGGCATGGAAAGGGTGAGTGTGGGGAGCTGGTTTTGGTGGGGGGGGGTTGGAGGGAGTTTGGGAGAGGAGCAAGTGTGTAGGGAGTTGTAGGACAGACTACACCTCACCTTATATTTGACTGTGCAATATTCTAAGCCAGACAACGAGGGCATGGAGAGGGTGAGAGTGGGGAGTGGGGTTTGGGGGGGGGGGAATCAGAGTGTTCCGGAGGGGAAGTGGGTTTGGGGGAGGAGTGAGTGCAAGGGGATTGACTTTGAACGTGAGAGTGAGCATAGGATATTGTGAGTCTAAAATTTAAGCACCTCGAAGATTGACTGTGGAAGTGAGAGTGAGTGCATGGATGTAGATCCCAGCTCAACCCTGGTCTGAGACGCATGCTCGCTCATGTTCATGCTAAAGCGCCTCAGAGATTGCTTAAGCACCTCGAAGATTGCTTCAGCACCTCAGAGATTGCTTAAGCAGCTCGAAGATTGCTTAAGCACCTCGAAGATTGCTTAAGCACCTCAGACATTGCTTAAGCACCTCGATGATTGCTTAAGCACCTCGAAGATTGCTTAAGCACCTCGAAGATTTCTTAAGCACCTCAGAGATCGCTTAAGCACCTCGAAGAGTGCTTAAGCACCTCGAAGATTGCTTAAGCACCTCGAAGATTGCTTAAGCACCTCAAAGATTGCCTGTGTTTGTGTCGGTTGGTGCTTCTTGCCTGTGTTTGCTTGCTCGCTTCTGCGCATGTGTTCTTACCTGTGTTCTTAAGCAGGAGCTTCAGACACAAGAGCCATCTACAGTCAAGGAGAGTGAGAAGGCAAGCAACGAAGTCACACGGACAAAGGAGGCCACGTCAGCACAGACTGACATCACGACAGGTCATACTGACGTGGCATCTGCTGACCTGGCAGCGCTGCAACAACAGCTGGCTGTGCTGGCCAATCAAGTGCAGCAGCTGCAAGCATTGGTGGGCGGGGATGAGGGAGGGAGTGGTGGTGGTGGTGTTGGAGGGGGAGGGGGAGGAGGGGAAGGGGGAGTAGGAACGGGTGGAGGAGGGGGAGGAAGAGGAGTGGGAGTGGGGAAGGAGCCTACAGAGACATCTCAAGAGCAGGTAGGAGCAGGAATGGTGCCGATGCCTGCAGTTTTGACTCGAGAGAGCGATGTGTCAAGTTCTTTTAAGGCCCATCACATCCATCGCACTGAAGGGATAGCAGCATTAGACACCCCAAAAGGAGGGGAAACGCAGGGAATGAGCAGGGAGACTGCAGCTGGAAAGAACAAGGGGAGATGAAACTGGGTGAGAGGAGTGGGAGCAGCAGTAGGAGTAAATTTTGGGATGAACGAGGTGCATGTGATTGTGGCACTAGTAATTTTTTACACATTTCTCACAGTTTTTACCCAATGCCCGCATAAGGAGCAATTGTGCTGGCATACCGTATTCCCCCGGATAAAGCACCCGCCGGAATTAATCACCCATGGGTGGTTTGGGCGGACCTGGGTGCTTTATTAAACTGGATATTCATACCACCCTAGTTTTTGGCATGAATCCTATACACCACCCCCCTGGTTCATTTTCACTGTATTTCTTTAGATTTTGCCTCTTATCAAAGTGTCTCTTATCAGACTCGCGCGTCACTGAGCAGTGCAAGCTCGATGCGAATCGGTTCAATGCGGTGTAGAGCTGTTACCATGCCTGGAATTCTCGTCACTCAGGCGAATGTTGCGAGTCTGATACAGTACGAGGCCCATGGGAACACACTCCTCACATTCAACACTGCAGCGCGGGAGAATCCTGGTTGGGTCGTGCAGGAATCTGCTGCAGATTCCTTCTAGATTTGGTGCGCTGTCACATTGTGGCGTCGAGGTTGCCACTTGCCACCACGATTTGACAGAACGTGACAACCTGTGACGCAGGCAACCTATGATTGTTTGCCTGCAACGTGGCATGACGATGGTCCTCCTCACCATATACGCGATCACGTGCAAGAATTGTCGAAATTCGGCACAAAAGAACTGTCTACAACACAGTTGAATTCCAGTTCATAAACATAAAATTGTCATTCCATAGCCCCCCCGGGCGTTATACAAAAAGTGCCACTAATTACACCCCCACTAAATTTTGCATCAAATTTTAGTGCCACCCGTGGGTGTTTTATCCGGGGGAATACGGTAAAACGACAATTGAGGAAGGAAGGAGAAGCAAACAAACAATGAAGCATAGGTTATATGAGAGGTGTCAGTTTCTGACATGGTATCAGAGCGTTGGTGACTCGGGTTCATTTCCCAGTGCTAGCGCTGTAGAGGCGCTCGTGTCTTCCACCTATCCCATCGAGGGGGGTGTCAACTTATACATTTGCATGTAGAAGTTATCGGCTAGAATAGGTGTGTGTTCTTATAGTCAACCCATGGATGGCATATGCGGGGGATAGATTATGATATGCCACATTTTTTAGAGTACCCGCTTTTCTGGGTTTGCATTTTACATAACACCCTGCTCGTTTTTCTTGCCTTCAAACAGTATTTTGTCCTTCATTACCAAGGTCCGCTCAGCTGCAAAAAGCGAGCAGGATGAAAATCGCATCAGGTGCCATTTGCAGTGCAAAGACAGGCAGACGAATCAATACAAGTGGCAAAACGAAATCGAAAGACAGCAAGTGTCGAGAGGATCTTGACCGCCCATCTTGGAGTTTAGATCACGTCAGCAGCAATGACCGAGAATATCTCGACTGCTTTCGGAAGCACGGAACTGGCTCTGTTGGTCAACGAGATTGGTCAGACGAGATTGGTCAACGACACCTGGCACTGCTGCTGGATCAATCTTCCACGATTTTCAGAAGCAAGGAAATGACCCTGTCAGAGTGTGCGACAGGGCCTCAGATTGGTTTTAAGGTACCCTGATTGCTCAGGGTCCCCCCCCCCCCCCCCCCCCCCCCCCTCCCCCTTTTCCCTTATTTTTCATGACTATATTTTTTTTTTTTCGCTGAGGTGGTTAAAAAAAAATCATGAGTAAACAGGGTTGCACGCTAGAATGGCGTTGAACATCAACACTAGCAATTACCGTATTCGAAACAAGCATAAAATAAGCATAATCTACTTAAGCACCCTCCTCCTCATCCTCCTCAACTATGCTATCATGGTTTTCTCCAAGTACGTCTTCAACTGGTTCCTTTCCCTTGCAACTCTTCTGGGCCCTGCTATGTGGGGCGCATCTATACGGCTTTCTCTTCTTGTAAGCCCTCCAGATCTCTATCACGGCGTCCCAGCCTGGGTCGCAATCTAACAAACTCATGCACATTAAATCTCCTAGGCGAGAGTCCTTCAAGGTGCCACACAGCCAGCTTTTCATGACATTCTGACGGGAGAACCTGCACTCGCACTCCAGTGTACTCAGAGGAAGAACCGTCGTTGCACACCACAGCTTAACAAGGTCGGGGTAGCTGCGCTCCCACTCCGGTGTCTTCAGAATGGTCGTCAGCCCTGTGAAGAATCCCTTCTCGCTCTGCGGTAGTGCTGCAATGACGGGGGTGAAGTGGGGAATCTCCTTAACGACCGCCTACGTGCCAATGCCTGTCAACAAGGTAAGGGGAAGTAAAAAAATCGTCTTAGACTTCGGTGCTCGATGACACAAAAGACCACTTGATAATGAGCCAAACCCTTACCTGGTACGACCTCTTCAGCTCCCTCTGCGTGGTACAGAAGGACAAGGGAATGGAACCACTCGATGCACTGCTTGATCCTAGCCGCACGTGCCCATAGCAACGGCCACTGGTCGGCACAAAACAGCATGACGCCACTCAACTGCTTTAGGTCACCCAGCCGCTCCTCCAAATTGTTGGCCATCCCCTCCGCCATTGCCATGCACAGCATGACGCAGTCATCATGCTTCCCCTTGCCCAGATAGCCGATGTCCTTCATGTGCAGGATGAAGCTGAAGCGCCGCGGGCGACCGTCCAAGTCAATGCCCTCAACGGTGACGCGCCGCGAACCGGAAGGGCCGTGAAGGGTAAGGAACTCCGTGAGCCGGTCTTTCGGCACCCCTTTGAAGTCGTCACCGCAGTCGACGTAGCGGCTTAGGAGCAGGGACTTCATGCGAGCGATGGACGAGTGGACGGTGGAGATGTCCAGCTGCAAGGAAGGGGTGGTGCACACAGGTAAGGCACAGAAAGATGTCAGTCCAGCAGTTTAGCAAAGACACACAGTAAGTTTACCTGACGCGCCTGGAAGATCTTGTTGAGCGTGTTCATCTGCTCAAGCACATCCGCCAGAATCATCAAGAGAAACCAGAAACGATTGCTGCTAACTATGGTATACATCCTATCGTCCGGGAACTCAGACAGCATCACGATGATTGCCTGCAAAACCTTCGCCAAACGTTGGATGGCATCCCCACGGGAAAGCCACTTAACGTAGTGAATGCCCTGCAGCTCAAGTGCCGTCGAGAGGAAGACATCATGAAGCTCGAGAAAGCGTTGATGCCACGGCCCCGAGCATCCGAGGAACTCAGCGAGCTCTAGGATGACATCGTCGATCATGAAGGCGAGGAGGTCATCGGCCACGGTTTTGGCGGCCAGAGCCTCACTGCGCAAGGACCACGGGGCGAGCAGCGGGCAGTCGTGGTGGTGCTGTGTGGTTTGCCAGAACATGAACAGTTGAAGGGAGAGTTAGACAAGGCAACGCATACTGTACATGGCTACTCTCCACGCCAAAATATGAACGCAAAAAACCCCATGGTTACTGATGCGCTATGCAGTGGCAGGAGACGAGGTAACGAATGCGCAGTAGGAGACGAGTAACAAGTCCAGACTTCGCGCCCATCATCACTGCTGCCTCGTCAGTGCTGATGCCAGAGATCCGACGAAGATCCACTCCGATGGCCTGGAGGTGGGAGAGCAGCAATGCCAGAAGGGAGGCAGCGTCTGCTTTGTTAACTGTAAGAAGAGCCAGGGACTCCGTGACCACCCGACGCTCACGAAGGAAGGTCGCGAACACAATCATGTGCTTCCCCCGGCACCTATCCGTGCTCTCGTCCAGGTTGAGCCCGATGAACAGGCTCTGCAGAAGATGCTCCAATTGAGTTGTCTGAAGCCATGTAGCCGTGGCCTGCGTGAATTTTCCGAAGCCGTACCTACAAACGGAAAAACAATGATTGAGTTAGAGAAGTCGCATTAAGAAACACCAAGGACCAATCATTTAATTTGACGACTCACGAGTTCAGGTAGGTGTCGTAACCTTCATCGGGGAAGTTTTTGTAGAACCGAGAGGCAAGGTATCGTGCAAATGTGATCCACGTCTCCATCGGTTTGTTCGTCCTGCAGCAAAGGTAGAGAGAATCGAGAAGCGCCGTCAGCCGTTCCTTCTCAAGATCAGCGGCACGGGGATTCTGGTCGATCCTCGTCTGCGTCGTTGCCTCCTGCAAGAGAGCAGCCTGCTTCCCGTAGGCGAGACGATGCTTCCTAGTGCCGGTGTGTCCAGAGAAGGCTTGTGTTTGGGAGTCCGAGAGACCAGGGCCACGGCATCCGCTCTTCCCTGAGAGACCTGCATGGTCCATACACAACTGACACTTGAAGGCCGGGAGGCCTTCTTCAGTCTTGACAAGCAAAAGCCAAGGAAAAGCATCGCTAATTTTTTTCTTGTATTAACTGAGCGCCTTTGCGTACTGCTCAGCTGGGTTCTCACCTTCTTCATAGTCGTCGGCGTGTCGTCCTCTGACTCAGCATCGTCGGACGCAGGGTTGGACGGTGGAGACACTTCGCTAGCCTGTTTGGGCTGCGCGAATGGGAGAACAGCTTGACGGAAGCGCCCAGGGCGCTTAGCAGGTCCAGCCCTGGGCGACGGATGCTCGACAGGAGCAGGCATGGAGGGACCGGGCTTAGGATTAGGGACACGCTCTATGACTGCAACGGATACGGAATCGCCGGCGGTATTTTCGTCTGGTTCATCCTAGTCGAGACGTGCGGTTCCTCTAAGAGGCATGCGTGTAAGGCTAGATAAAGTCGACAGCGACAGGTCCAGGCCAGTGGTGAGGTCCGCACGCTAGCCGTCATTTGTATCACCATCGGCCGGTTCCCCATTGATTGGCTCTACCGTGACAGGGTGAGACATAGCTTTAGAGGAGCTACCAATTGAAGAGGGAATGGCTATACGAGAAACGAAAAACCTGGGGGAGATAGGCACGTATAGCAGCAGTTGAAGATGCAGATGAACCAGATGGGGGTAGCTTGTGGGAATGGATCGGGGCGCGGCACGGTGACCTTGCCTGCACGCTGGGCAAGGTTCAGGAATCCACTCGTCAACGTAGCCCTATTACTGGAAACAGGGCAGGTCCCCGTTTCTAGGTAGAAACAGTCTGGGCCTACTACCGTTGTTACGCTGGTCAAACAGAGTTCAGTTATAAAAAAAACTCTGATTTATCGGGGTTAAGGGAAAAAAAATCCTAGCACATCAGTGTCGGTACCTACAAAACCTCTGAAAAAACCTTGAATCACGGAAATTTGCCTGAAATCTGAGGCCCAGGTGTGCGATCTCTGTAGCAGATTCCTCATTAGCAGTTGCTTGGTGAAGTTCTGGCCTC